TATATTATATATATATATATATATATATATATATATATATATATGGCGAGAGAGAGAGTGAGAGAGATAAATAAACAAAAAAATGAAATGTAGCAATGAGGTTTTAAAGAGGGTGACGATCAAGCTAAAGAAAACGAACTTAGCACTTGCGTGGGCCGGTCTCTCGTATTACGCGTGCGATGCTCTCGTTTCTGTTAGCATCATACGGTGTGAAAAAGAAAAAAAAAACAGATCACATTATGAAAAATAGCCAACCAACCAATAGCCCGAACAAATACTGTTCATGAAAGAAAATCTACATCCATCCTTTTATCGATTTCTTGCTTCATCGCGGCACCAATGGTTGCTGTCATGCCTCATTTCGGGTATCGCAATTATTTAATTCAAAATAAGAAAGTGCGTATATCTCCTCGTTTATCTTTATGCTTCGTTGGAATCGCCGCCGATAAACCTCCTCGCCCCACTGGCCACGACATGAGGCATAAGCTCTGAAAGGCACTGCGCATGTTTTACGTGTCAAGAGAACATGTAAGAAAGAATCATTGGTAGCCATGGGAGTGGCTGACAGAATGTTGCAGGAAGTGTTTGTGTGTGCGGCGTGCGCCCCGCGAAGGCCTAGGTTAGGGTTCGAAAGCATTCTTAATCGCAGAAGTTTGTTTAAACTGATAAATGTTGTTCGTGCTCTCGAGCAGTCTCTGACAGCGTTCTTTGAAGCAGAAGGCCAATAATACTACAAAATTTTCACCCCCCCCCTCCTGCCCTCGAAAAAAAAAAAACTGGCTATGGGCCCACAAAGATGATGACGAGGGTCCCAGAAGACGACGGGAGCTCGAGGTGCGGAGAAGTTGCTATCAAACAAGGCATTTCGCTGGAGCGAACGTTTTCCAGCAAAATTCCTCGTTCAACGACCTCCTCTAATGACGTACTCTGTACGTTGGAACTGAAGATGTGGTGACATGCAGTAAATTTGTGCAGTTGCTTAGTAGCTTATAATGAAAAATTAGTTCGGTAAACTCTTCAAATTTGCCCTGCTGCATGCAGTAAGCGTATGAAGGCTTATGATAATGAAGTCAACACGTGCACCTAAGGGTTCCGTTAAAGCAATGTACTCTCCAGACCACCACTCATTCTTCCGAGGGGTTTACAACGCAAGATGTCGATAACCACATGTAAACCACATCTTTGATGTTGAAGCACTTTTTTTTTCAATTGAATTGAATTGAATAAAGCAAGTGCTTTAACATCAAAGATGCACCATGAAGATTAGGTAAATCGGATTGTATTTTTTCACAATAAACATAGTAAGCAATTACTTTAATCTGAGGAATAAAATTTATGAGTGCGTATCTAGGAATACAGGAATACTATTTCTTTGACAATTAGAAATTAGGCAAGTGTATAAATGAAAAATCAATGTTTTATTTAGCCGATTAAAGCAAACACATGTGCTATAAATCTTCTATAAAAGAGTTCACACAAGAAAAGTGAGCACACAAAATGCATTAAATATATACGAGGGCGATCGGCCTTGCCATTGAAGAGCAGTAAGCTGTCTCACTTATATAGCAAAAACAAATAATTAACTGTACATGTCAGCTCAAAATTTAAAACAAAAGCTGGTATTGTAACCACCACGAAGAGCTCATCTAGTTTTAATGCCTAAGTTAGACTTTGGCACTGGTTCACACGCGTAACCTTGACGAACCACCTGAAAGACAACAATTTGGATGAATAGCACAGAAGAATGGAAAACCAAATATGAACTAAGGACCACAGCCACATATTGAGCATCCTGCAAATGAACAAGGTGCCCAGCGGGAAATGTTGTGAGGGTTTTTGAAAAAAAAAAAAGGAAAATGCGACCACCACTCCTGACCACTTAAAAAAAAAAAAAAGCTTCCGGAAGGAAGTCATCGATTGCACGAGCCCTCTGGCAAGAATATCGGCGCCAAATTAAAGAGAAAAAAAAACGACATTGTAGCTTTTGTTTTCCTTGCTACTGACAAAGCTGTGGTAGTAGAATTAAGTGAAAAAACAGTTTTTCTAGAATAATTTATTAGTCTGAACTGGTTGCTTTAGCGTCCTCTTCAAGAAATCTGGATATAGTTATATTCGTCTGCGTCTGCAGTTTTAAAGCGGATTTGTGCTGAGAACCCAGTGAGCGATGAGCACACCTCTGGTTGTAGTTTAGGTGAGGTAACATATGATGTTAGGCCAGTTAGGTGGGTTGAGGGAGGGGGTGGGGGCAACATCGACCTCTCATACTTTTATTGCTACAGCGCCTAATTCTTCTGGAAGTGGCTGCGTTCCACGTTAAGATAATTTTGTCATTCTTAATTTTTTTTTGCGAAAGCATAGGCTGTTTTGCGAAGTAATATCGCATTTGTTCCAAAGAAAGAGGGGAGGGGGAGGTGATTCTTAAATGAAAAGAAGATAAAAGTGAGCCCCGCAGCTGTCTCTCAGGAGAAGGACACCTCACCAGGAGCTCACGAGGGATGGGGGTAAGGAAGGATTAAATAGGATAGGAATTAAATGTATAGAGATAGAGTGAGGAACAGGAGGAGAGTGGGACGCAGGAACAGCCACATACGGAAGTAAGAAGAAGATAGGAAAGATGGACACGGTCGCAGAAGTCCGAGGACGGAGCACCACTCAGCGAGAGCTCTTGTCAGCCTCAGGAGATGGCGTAGGGTGAGCCAGTCGGCCAGAGCTGCACCAGAGCTAAACTGGTAGGTGTTCTGTGGCCGCACTGTTGTCGGAGATTGCGAGGGCACAACCGGTCGGCACGAAATCCAGCGAGCGAGTCACAAAGAAAAATCCGAGCTAGAGTGGCAGTATCTCCTTGAAGGTGTCTACAATATCGCATACCATTTTGACGATTTTTAGCCAGTAGACACTGCTGTACAATTTGTATAAGCTGCGTTCATTGAGGGGCGGGTATATATACAAACATAATACTGCTCTAAATGAGAGCAGAGCGCTGCGTCACACGACAAATTTTGTTGGTAATAAATTTTAAAATGAACACCGCGCTGGAATACGAAACTGAAGGACATTATTAAAAGTTGTAAATACTTTTATTTTCTAATATACTAATAAAAACTAAAGTAATATTCACAATTTTAAAAATCATTCAGATTTTTATAGGTTTTATAAACTTTATTCAGTTACATTGACCTGCTTTGAATCATCTTTAAGTCAACACTTTATAGATTTTAGCGAGTCGACCCAAGCCAAGCCAACTTTGCATTTTTGAGCGATTTGTTTTGTTTTTGTTCCGTTCATCCGGTGTTGTGGTGGTGTGCGCTGTGTGTGTGGTGCCGCCGTGAAATTTGCTCTCGCTCCTCTTCGTTTTGAAGGATTACACGCCCCCGATGAAGCAGATCGTGCAACGCCGCGCGCATCGCCGAAAGTTGCCGCCTGTGACGTGACACAAGCTACGTTCACCGCCGATCGTCTTCGGTCATGGTTCGCCCCGTGTTGGTGCCTCGTTCGCTCGGTTTATGATTGGTTTCGATCATGTCAAAGCTACCGGACCACAACGATTGGGTCAGGAGCTTCTACGTAACGAATCCCACTCGGCACAAGAAGGGATACACAATCTACAAGGTTGTCTCTAAGGTAAATGGATTGACCGCTAATCACCATACCACTTAATCGAATGCTCAACTGTAGTCGTTATTAGGTTCGCGTATTTCCTTATGCAAAGCCTGTTCGGATAGCATTTACTAGGAGGACATTTGTGACGAATGATGCGCTTTATGACGTTCGCAGGTGTTTCCCAAGAACTCTGTGGAAGCGGCATCTCAGGTAAGCTGGCGCGCTCGTATTTCGGGCGCTCCTTCACGTCTAATCGCGTCATTCACGGCCGGTTACGTCTTGCTCCGCTAGGTCGTTGTATGGAAAAGGTACAGCGACTTCCGCAAGCTGTACAAGGCGCTCCTTCACCTTTACCAGGGCCTTCATCTGAAAGGAAACTTCCCGAAGTTCGCCAAGGCTAGCTATTTTGGTGAGTACAGCGCGTAGTTTCCGGCGATCGTGATCTCTTTTCGTGTGCCGCTGTTGACCATCAAAGTAGTGAAGCAACTTGATGGCTTGAAACGTGATTTGAATTCGCAAGTAGCTTTGGTGATTGCGGAGGACTGTTTACTGCTCAGGAGCGTGTTACGTAATTGGTGACGACTGCAGAAGTCGTTGTCACAATAGGCATTACGTGCGCGCGCGTGTGTAATGCATTATCTATTTTATTGCGCGAGTGGTCTAATTTTTTGGGACCCTTCGTTTCAAAAGCTTTCTTTTCTTCTAGCTTTTCTCCACTGCATTTTCTTGTAGCTATTTGCGGAATATGCAAAGTGATTTGTTCCCAATGCGACGATTCTTACATATGTAAAGTTTCACGATCAGTGCTTTTAAAAACTTGTTATACGAATGTTTACAGGTGTTAGTAATGTCCTAAATTTAAATTGCATCTTTACTTTGTTCACGTAGCATATGGAAATTGTAATTAAAAATTGCTAATATATTTAATTAAGTTGCAACTGTTTACTTCTTAATTCCACTCTTTTTGTAACACTTACGCTCATAATTTACAAGTAGCATACACAAACTCAGTTCTTAAATTTAAGTGCACCTGGCGAATTTTCGCTCCCGGCTACTGTAGAGTATATTTTCATTTTTATAATAGCGCATAAAAATAACACCTTTGTTTGGAAACGTAGTGGGCCATTTGTCATACCAGCCTCATCCGTCTTATGACCTTGTCATCAGCTGTATTTATTCTCACTTCCAAGGTCGTTTCGACGAAGAAACGGTGGAGGAACGTCGCAAGGCTGCTCTCTGCCTTTTGGATTTTGCCGCTCAGTATCCCGTCCTTTTCAACAGCCAAGTGTTTGTGAAGTTTTTTGAGGTAAGTGTGCGCATACAGCCCGTGGTGTTGGTTGACTTCTCCCCCTGTGCCTCTCTTGTTATTTCACTTCTGTATGTTGTTGCGTGTTACTTGTTTTTCTCGATGTATGTTGTTCACAATTATTATGACCTTTTTCATCAGTATTTTCTTCATGCCTCTGAAGCCTCGCTTCAGTTCTCCATGCACTAAGCTCGTTAACGAGGTTCTGAACCATCACGTTTGTTGGTTTTCTTAGAATAGCAGCTGTTACACTCAATGACGTGGCGTGACTTAACTAAAGTTGTGCTCTTCTTAAACGTCCTGTTTTGTCTTTGTTTCATACCCCATGTATGAGCAGTGAGGAAGCCTTGAATTCTTTAATGAAAAGTTTCGAGGAAATTGTCAACCTTAAGTTTCACTTATAAAGTGCTTCAATATTGCTGTTGTAGATGACAAGACTACAGGCAAGCGATAGCCGGAAGTATTTGCGTGACACTGGCCTACTCATTTATCTGATAAGCTTGTGTTGCTGCTCTAACATGGTCTTGAACAATGGCTGCGTTTTTTTTTTATCTGCATGTGTGATATTCTAGCTGCTCAAATTCCATTTGTCTTATGGAAAGCTTTGCACCCATGAGTGGAATATTACCACCATTCTGTATTTAGGTAAAAAAATAAATAAAATATCACCATAAAGTTGAAAGGCCTAAGCAAGTTGTTCCTCTAAATACACTACGTCCTGTATTGTAAATAAACGGTTATTATTAAATTTGTGCTTTTTTCTATACACTGTTGAGCCATTTCATTGCCTTAGCATGGTGGTGAGCTAGTTGGCTATCTAGTTGTAACACCTCCTATACTGTAAAAATGTCCTTCTGTGATGTCTGGTGGCAGGCAATTTTTCATAATGCCACAGCTGTTTGGCAATGAATAGAGCAACTGTCAGCAATACAGAAAACATCCTTTACGATATTTAGGAATGTTATCAACAAAGCGTATATAAATATGCTTGGTAAGAGTTAGCATTGTTACGCATTATTCTACACGGGTATCATAGAATACACTCACTGTTTTATGTGTCTTGTTGATCAATGTGTAATTTTACTTTTCTTTGATATTTTCATTTTGAAAGAGAGCATATAGTTTAATTAAATGCATGTCATATGCAATCAAGTGTTCAAAACTATGTGATATGATTTTAACACATATTTAAGTGCTGTAAGAGAGCTAGGGGCTCTGTGATGTAAAAAAAAGTTCAGTGAGGCTTGCAAGTATTAGTTTTTGCATGCATATTGAAAACAACCACTAGAAAGGTCTGTACCACATAAGCTGCTTGTTTATCATTATTAAAGGTAAGAAGAGAATCAAAATCAAAGGGGTATAAAGTTACACTGCATATTACGGGCGAGAAAATTGATGAGTAAGGAGGGGCATTACATAAAAAAAATTTACACTAATAGAAAGAAAGAACAATATATATCTGCATGTAGATATCATTAATTGAATTAAATTAATTTCCAACCCTATAAACACAGATGGAGGGATTGTAGGTAAAAGCTGCTTGACGAATCTTCAAACTTAAAGTACAGGGTGGACGCAGTTGTACAAATTGTACAATTCAAAACATAAGAATAAAACATATATACAAGAATCACCAGAGAATATGCAAATCAACACTGTGTACATATAAGCAAACGTAAACTGAAACAATGTTATTTGAATACTTAGAGGGGAGTTCTTTGTGAGTACAGGTGAACAAATTGAAATCAGTAAGAGCATAACTATTCAGCATAGACGGCAGATATAATCCAGTTATGTCTACAGTCCACACTCGGTAATTCAAACTTGAAGGGATCTCTGAATTTTATTTGAATTATCAGAAGTTCTCAGATATATGAGTGTGTGTAAGGTGACACCATACATTATGATTAGGCATTGATTTTATCAGATTTTCAAATTTTTAAGTGTTTATAAAGGGGCCCTCCAACACTATTCAACCCCTCCCCCCATGTTTTATTCGTGGGTTGTGTAGAGTGAAGTACAGACAGACTAATGCAGCAAAAACAGCAGGGATAAAGGCACGCAGTCTCAAGTTATTCAACCTTGAAAATGCAAAATACAAAAAAAAAAAGATATCAGCTCTCAACTCTATTTTACGGGGTCATTTGACCACATTTCACTCGCTCATGATGTCGGAAGGCTGCCCCAATGAAATAACCTGGAAGCGCCTACGTCGAGGAAGCTCGCATTGATGCTTTTTTTTTTTGCCATTGATGCTTTTTGGCCAGTTAGTTCAGAATGGCAGCTAATGTTACCATTTCAAAAACAAAAAAAAAAAAACATTTTTTTATATATTATACACAAGTTATTTTTAATGGAGATATCGCACCAAGGCTCCAAAAACATGTCAGTAGCGGTCGCCGGAAGCACTGATGTATGAATGCTGATTTGGAAGTGTAGTTTCTGTTTCGCGGTTATTCTTTGAACGCCTGGCAATCACATGAGGTGCCCCACGAAAACAACGTTTTGGACCAGTCGTGCTTATGTAGCTTACATACATACTTATTAAGAGAATTTAAAAAAATGTGGTACAAAAAAAGTCTCATGAGGGCTGTGGGCCGCAAACTAAGAGGCTTGCAGCCCGTGCTCTGCCGATTTGAGACTCCTGCTACAAAAGATTGATGTGTTGATTACACTACCATGTTCAGCAAGCTGTTCGGTTCTAGTAGCTACAGAGAAAGCTTAAGTTTTTGTTGGCTTGGTAGGCAATTTTTTTTTCAAAAGTGGAACGTGACTGATCACACACAAAATCGATATTTCATTAGATACTAATTAAGTGTAATTACAGAAAAAATGCACAAATTAAATACAGCCTTATCTTTCTTTCTTTAGAATATCAAGTGCCTTGAAATAATGTGCAAATTCGACAAATACACAAGCAGTCCATCATGACTTGCACATTGAGGGGAAATACAAGTAATGAATAATGCTCAGCAAACACATTCTACAGAAATGCATTCACACTGCGGACCTCTAAAGTTTGGTTCTCAAGCACCAGGGCACTTCCTCTTTTTCTTTCATATCATGAATTTCTTGTGTGATGATGCCTTCAGCTATGTTCTTGTAATGTGACCGTTGAACGCTGTGCAATGTCCATGTTTCGACACCTGTGTCTTCATAATTTAATGTTCATGTAAGTGTCAATTTTTTCTGACACTTGAGATCTGGTAACAATGTGTGGATGTCATGCATGGGGTTCCCTTCAAACAGAACAGCCAAGAATGCCACGATGAAGCTGAAGGAGAGATGTCGGGGCTGAGTCCACCCTTGCTCGCACCGCCGTCCAAATCCAGTGACTCCTCGTCCAATCAACGGTGAGCATAGAAATTGGAGAACTGCTTGTTCCAGCTTACCCTTGTTCTAGCTTCTAGACACATTCTCATAAATGAGTGTCCATGTGATTGTCGTACATTTCGGAGTCCAAAGTTCCAGCTGACGCAAAAAAAGGGGAATAATATTTGTTGGTGCTTTGTTTACATGCCGTGAAAAGTAAACGAAGACTTTATACATCACTATAACCGAGGCAAAGTATAAACAAGAAGGCTAAATAATTTAGAAAGAAAGCTTCATAAAGAAGCTTTTACAGGCTTCGATGAGCGATCAGTGAGAGGCCTCTTGATGCCTAGCGCTAGCAAACAATAATGTTGGCTAGCTGTTGGCTGGTGTCGGCTAGTGCTTCTTGTGCGCGGCATAAGCAGCCATTGCCTTGTACACATGGCACTATTGAGCATATTTGCTGTAATAGGTGGATAGCGAAGCGGCGTGTTGTCTGCTATGGTACTTTCGGTTAGAGGCATATCGCATCGGGAAGGAAACACGTGCAGTTCTGCAATGCGTTCGTTGCCGCTTGTCCAGTGTTTGTATTCTTGAATTATTTTGTGGCGATCGAATACACAGTGTTTAGCACTTTCACAAAACGAAGCGAGCAGGGAAAATGGGTGAACACGAGGAACAATGAGAGGGGAGTTTCGAGCATGTTTATGCTTTGAAACATGCAGTAAGTTTTCGCAGAATTGCCTCGATTTAGTATTTTCAACCACAAATGGTGGTCACTTTAAAATTACTTGCATATATATGAACGCATGCTGCCAAATGTCAACGTGCGTTAGCAACGCAAGTGCGCCTACTCGGCTCGATCAAGTATACTGATACAATATATTTGCACAGCATATTTTACGTCTTCTACCGTGTGTCAAATTTATAGAAACAGCTGAGCACGTAAAAGGCCCGTGGAACGAAATGACCGCTCAGCTAAAGGTATCAGAGGATGTAAAATGATCGGAGTCTATTTCAAAGCAACAGGTTGCGTGGTGCAACGTCTCCATTGTGTCAGACTTACAAGCGTGAGGTTCCGATAGGCTGTGTTGTACTCCGATTCATATCCTTAAAAGCTATCCTTCACAAAATGTATGTTTAGCATGCATTGAAACACAATGTTCGGATGTGTGAGGGAATAAAATCTCAGGTAATGAGAGATTAGGAGGCATAAAGAAGGCCACAATACTGCAAGCACATTTGATTTTAAGAGTAAGAAACAGTATACTGTTGCCATTCACTATTTTGAACCAGAAATGGCACGTTTGTAACACAAAATAAATAATTCTACGAGTGAGCAGCATGAAAATAAATGGATGGATATTTCGTGATACTATGAAGTAATGGATGGATGAAAACAAATGTATTGTTTTTGGGATGGAAACATTTGTATGTAAGCAAATATGCATGAAAACACCCTTTGCTGCAAAACAATGTGCATGTGTTCAAAGGTGTACGCTTCTTGAATGAAGCAATGACTGCGTGTACCATCATCACTACAGTAGACTCTCAGTAAACGGAACCTGAAGGGACTGGTAAAGTATGTTTCATTTAACAGGAGTTCCGTTTACTGAGAGGTGAACAGGGGTGCAGAATACAAGCCCAAAACCAAGCACAGCAGAGGCAATAGTTCCGTTTAAGCAGTAGTTCCATTTAAAATGATTTCCATTTACTGAGAGTCTACTGTATCTTGTAGTTACTGCATTTGTTATTGGTTTAAGCTGTGTAACACTCCAGTGCATTATGTAGTAGTTTTTTAGAAAAGGCCTCCATGAGGTCTAGGTAAAACGGCACTAGTAAGAATGTCCGTTAGACGGCACAATATCTGGAATCGGAAGTGAATGCAGACGAGTGCCATAGCGCACAATCCTTTGCTTGAACCTTGATTGTGCTGTCCACCTATTGTCATTTTGTGTTTGCTTTGCATTTTGTTTCCTACTGTTAGTGCAACCTAACACTACTGATGCCATAGCCATTGCAGGGTGCAGTTTGTCGATGAAGCTCTTGGAGTTTAACCTCTTTTGTGGGAACGGTTTTCGGCAGCGTAGCACCTAAACAGGCTTCCGCCCAAAAATATGGACACATTTGAAGAACTTGCCTCATACAACCCATCAGCCAGCAGCTTCCTCATTTGTGAAGATACCAGTGTTGGGATATTTTGATGAAATTCCAATCGACGTGGTATTGTGTATTTTAATGGGAATGCAAACTTCTGTGGTGTTCATTGTCATCTGTAATGATCTTACTGTGTCTCATTTCTGGCGATCTGTACTTATTTTAAATTTAAGTGAGGTAATTGAGTAACATTCAAGAGTGGTCTCAGAAGTGATAGTGCTTCTACTAAACGATTTGTGAGACATGTAAGTGTGGGATTAAGCTACATCAGAATAATCAAGTACTAGTAGCTTATATTTTTTGTTATGAGTGCTTGTTTTGCACTTACACTCTCTTTATATTGTAATAATAGCAATTCTATCAATATTATTTATGCTTAATATATCTTACTTTATCGTTATAAGGTCAGGTAAAGCTACGCCCAGATGGCCTCGTTCAAGGAGTGTAAATACATTTACTTTACATTTGTTGTGTATACTTTTCAAAGGCGTATTTCTCAACCTACGGCCAATGCAGCCCCAGGTATAACTTCTCAGCGTTAGTAAGTATTCTGGCTGAAACTACGTTTTAGTTTTGCTCGCAAAGTATATTTTCTGAGGGTGCGCACGTGTATACAGCGGACAAACATTTCGGCTGAAGCGACGTACATGACCCCATTCTTTTCACACTCTTCTATTGAACATAGTTTGGAATGCTGTTTCCATTGCTCAAGTGATCTGCTAAAAATTCATTGGGCTACATTTTTTTTTCAAGTTTACGCTGAAAGGTTCAGAAAAACAAAATTTTCCTGGACTACCGAGGAATATCATATATAACACAGTGACAATTACAGTCAGAAGCACAGCACTTCTCAGTACTTACAAAAAATAATGAGAAACGCTTCCTAAATATGCCAGCATTTCTCTGCTGACTAAAGAAGAAAACTGTCTGTCTATCTGCCCGTCTATTTGTCCTGCATGGCGAATGCTGTTATGAAGAAATAAAATAGATAAAAGTGAATTTTTGCTTCTGTGGTCGAGTTGTTGAGCCCATAGCTTCAAAGGCAAAAGTTTCAGTCGCTAGGCCATCACCCATGCTTGTAATGTAGGCATATGTGCAACCTACGTGCATGCGTTGTGTCCATGGTGAAAAACAAGTAGCAAGAGAACACTTTCTACGAAGGCTGCACTGAATTTCTTTGAAGTAGAATAAAAGCACCGTGTAGGACAAGAAGCAAAGGTGACTGGGAGAATTAGACACTTCAGAAAAATTCAGACTTCACAAAATCTCGGCACTAATAGAACATTTTGGTAGTTGAAGGATGTGTATGCCACTGGGCCACTTGATATGCTGACGAATGTTACAGTACAGTGAACTAGACACTGCAACTATAGAGATGTTTAAGGATACTATTCATATGCTGACTGAAAGCAGCATTTTTGGGACATACACTACTTATAGTAAAGCTCACTGCTTATGCATCACTTAGGCAACTCTCTAAATGGGAAATTCTGCTGTATGCCCCATGCTGACACATGGGAATGATACCATATGGTTTGTATGGTGCATTCTACTTCAGAGGTGCTTTAGACACATGTAACATGAGGCACCATGCTCATTATTAAATATTGTTATTTCAATTAGTGAATCGTACAGGATACCCACTTCACACTTGACTCTCTGAGTCACACTGCACTGCTGCTGTGTTAAACACGTGTTCAAGAATGCAGAGATTAAACCTGCCCATCCCAGTGTGATGTGATGTGTGATTTACATTCTTCCTTCCTAGTGTCAACCACGCTACAGATGTTGCGGGTGGCGATTGCTGTTCTGAAGTGTCGTGGGGTCCATCTTTGACTGCCGACAGCGTCAGCCTGGACTCTCGCACGACCACGGAGGAAGAAGCGGATCGGTCTGCTCGTTCCACGGCTACGGAAGGAGAGGAAGACGACCGGCATTCGACTTCGCAGCAAACGTCGCCCGCAGGATTCCTCCGTCCTGACATAGCCGAATTTGACCCCGTCCTACAGGTATACAGTCAAACCTCATTATAACAAAGTTCGTTATGTCTGAAAATTTCGTAAAGAGGTTTATTTCTAACACTATACCTATTGCAAGACTATTTTTCATTTATCATTATAGGCGATAATTGGTTATACAGTCTAACCCTTTTATAACGCTCATAAAGTGCCATGATAAATGCTCATTATATCAATAGTTCGTTGTATGCTGTTGTACCTGTCCAATAAAAACATCCACTTAGTGGCCAAACCTTTTTTTCCCCTTTTTTCCTGTGTACGTTTATTCAAGAGCGCGACCGCTGACAAGTTAGGCCTTTTCGCGTGTTACACGACGCCCATTTGCTCACCAGTGAATTCAAGCATGCTTGCAATGAACTCGTGCGTTTTACTGAAGTGCGGTACTGCCATGCGAACCAATCATCCCTGGCTAGTTGTGTGCAGCACGTCACTTACTCTGCTCTCACCATCGCATGCCAGTTCACTTGCAGTCCAATCTATGCGCGCGTTTGTGCTTTCTTCGCACGTGCTTCACTTGTGTTATGCAAGGGTGTGGCGAAAAGCCTGTTCGTTTAACCCAACGAAAATTTTTGTGAGCGACGCGGGCAAGCAGCCTTGCACAACGCGGCAGCGTCAAACTTGCTAACAGCAGCATGACCAGCCTGTACCACTGTCATACCATCGTGCAGCTATATGCAGATGATTGTGATAAAGACTGCCGGCGATGAGTCAAAATGGCATGTTCGTTGCCTCCGGCCACCTCACCACTCCTCTTTTCTGATGCTTATCCCTTACGGCACTGCCGCAACTGTGCGGAAGTAAATATCACTAATCGACCGGTCTCTGCTTTTACTGAAAGATGGAAAACTTTTTGTACCGGAGTGTTGAACGTCGCAGTAAACTTTTATACGACAAAAGTTATCGCTTCTCGCATTTGTGACTTCTTGCGTTGAAAGGCATTCTTGGTTAATTGGTTAATCGTCGATGGTCATGGATGCCGAAAAGTTTGCCATGCAAAAAGTTTGCCATGCGAAAGCCAACCTTCTTCATGCAGCCTCCTATTTATTTGCGTTTTTTTTCTCACTTCCATTCTGCCAGCAAAGAAACGTCTGGAAAGTGAGCGACCTCACTCGCAGCGTTCAAAATCTGCGTGCGGGGCTCGCCGCGGTCTACGATATCTTCGTTGCAAGCAAACTGCAGTGGGGCACACGCGAGCGTGCTCCTATTACATGCTTTAGAATGCCTGTTCTAACATATTTTTCACTTCATATGCGCCATGTTTTTACTGCGACCGTGTTAGAAGTGTTCGTTGCAAAACTAGGAGGCTTTAAAAAATGTTCGCTGTATGTGGACTCAGTTTGAAAGGGTAGCATAGGAATATCTTGGGTGCACCAAAATACGGTCGTTATAACCTATACATCATTATATCTGGGATCGTTATAAGTGGTTTGAACTGTATGCGGGTTCGTTATATTGAGGTTTGGGTGCTTAATGTTTGGCAATAATGGCAGGAAGCCTACTTTTCATTCGCTGCAGTACCTTTCTTTCTTTTTTCGTTGGCAAGCGTGAAGGCAGAGCTTTCAAAGGGATATTTAGAGCTGGTTAACATTGCACATTCTAAGAAGGCACACGGTTATTGCAACTTTACACAGGATCTAGAAAGGTCAGGTGCAGACGTGTATGGATGGCGGAAGATTGAAAGATGCGAGAATTATGTTATGTACAAGGCATTACTGAATAAAAGAGCCAAAAATGCAGTAGTCGGGTACCTAGCAGTGTGAAGAAGGTGAGGGGCCAGCAGTCACAGTGTGTGCTGTTCGTCAGTGATACCATTGGACACACTGTGGATGCATTTGTAAAACACGTTCTTACACCGTTTATGTACTTGTGATCCCTGCAAGGATATGACTCAAAGTGCATAGTTAGCGTGGCAAGTGCATAACAAAAATAATTAGGGAGAAAAAGCGAGGCAGACCGGCCTAGTTATTTACTCACTGCACTTACCACATCAAGAGTGAACCAATGTACCCACTGAACAGTACGACCTTAGTTGAACACTTATAGTGTGCATGTCTGTTTTCCTCGTGCCATTGCAGAAGGATGATGACGATGACTCGACTTCGTTGAGCAATGCGTGGATCCTGTCGGCTGCTGATGCCTGTGTTTCCCTCGGAGACGAATCTACGCCCACACCCAGTGGTCCCGCGTTTGTTTTTCCAAATCCTGGCCAGGAAACAGTGGAGGAAGAGGCTGATGACTGGACAGCGTGGGATCTGAAAGGTACTGTGTTCCATGAACGAGATTTTAATTGCTTAGTGCGACTTTCAGCAAGTATTGCTGTGCGTAACAAAGAAATGCACTGTAGACTTTCAGTAAACGGCAATCTGTTAAATAGAATATGTCTTCCTGGTCCCTTCAGTTTCCATATTATGAGAGTCTATTCTATTTGTTATTGAGAGAGCTGCATTTGTCTTCAAAGGAAGAACAGAAAGTAGACCAAGTTTTTTGAGCTAGATTGCTGGGAAATTTTCTTTCGTTCGTGAAAAAAATTCTTGTGCTGACTTTGTTAAACTCTGGTGGTCACAGTCACTTATTCAGTGTACACTTTGTTTTGTACTGCTTTTATTTTTAATGCAAAATTGTGGTGGCAATTGCAGGTATATCAGCCTTCAACAAGTCTGGTATTTAACAAAGTTATCCTTTCTTTTTTCTTTGGAAGAAGGCTTTATTAACTACATTATCCTATCTTATAATTGACAGCATACCTTGTGCAATTGCTAGAAAAAAAAAGGGAAATTATTTCAAATATATAATTTTTGTTTTGAGATCCAGACAGGTCTCTCCAGACATATTCACTCGCACTGAAGACCTCTAATGCTATAGTATTACATTTGTAACAGTGGCACAAAAAGCATGTGTAGTTATAAAGCCACATCACACTCTGCCTGACGTTGGGGCCTTAGTTTACTGTGCATGAAAGTACATATCGCGTGGCTGCAGCAAGCACAGGACCGTAATGATCAACGAAACATTACCCTGCAGTGGGTGTTGTCAGTCTGATTATGATGCAGATGAAATTACAGCTTGTATACTGATATGCACAACCAGCTGCTCTTTAGAGTATGATAACGCCCGCAGATGCCGACAAGAGCTGTGGAGTCAGGGAGACGGAGCGAACATGGCACGAGTCAGCCACAAGTTTCACACCTGGCACGCCGGTGTCACCACTGGACACTGAGGGTGTCGCTTACCTCTACGAGGCAACCAGCTCTGCTGCCAAAGCGTATGCCTGCGAAGCCCAAGGCGACTTTGTGGGGGCCTTCTCTCTCTACAAGGTGGCCGTCAGCTGCCTGCTCGAAGGAGTGCAGAGTGAGTGCAGTCTTTGCTGCATGAAAAGGAGTTTGTTATTCAAGTTGGTTGCTCGAATGCCTCTCTTCAAGCAGAAGTGACTTTTTCTGTGTGGCTTTCTCTCTTCCCGCCCCGCCACGGTGGTTTAGCTGTTAAGGTATTCGGCTGCTGATTCTCAGGTCGTAAGATCGAATCCCGGCTGTGGCGGCTGCATTTCCGATAGAGGTGGAAATGCTGTAGGCCCGTGTGCTCAAATTTGGGTGCACGTTAAAGAACCCCAGGTTGTCGAAATTTCCGGAGCCCTCCACTACAGCGTCTCTCATAATCATATCGTGGTTTTGGGATGTTAAACCCCACAAATCAATCAATCTTTCTCTCTTCCCTCATTCTTACAATCGCAAGTGTGGCTATTACTTACTATAGTAGTCATGTGTAAATGCTTTCGATTTAGTGAAACACAATATCTCGTCCTTCATAGATAAAACTGACAGTTTTCATTTAGAGTGAATTGCATTGACATGTTCTGCTTAAATTAGTAGTTATGCATTTAAAGCAGATACCATAAAGAAAAGATAAAGACTTCTGATTGACATTTGAAGTGGACTGCTCAGACTCCCATTTTATTTCGTATGGTACTTTCAAATATAATGCTCTAAAAACAAGGATAATATTAAGCAACAGCTGCTTTGAAGTGACATCTTACTGCAAGGTTTGTGCATGAACAAGCCAGGCACATAGCGAGGCTTTGAGAGGGGGTTGGTTCACACTCTGTAACCCACGAAGATAAAGCAAACAGATTCGACAGACACCACATGACAATTGGTCCATTTATGTCTTTCCTGTCGTCTTCCATCTTCCTTTCATGCTTGAATTCCAGGAGTTACAGAAACGTAGTTGAAATAGTTGTGTACACCCAGCTCTCTCACCACAACGTTGTGCGGTTCTTTACATGGCTGCGTTCAGAGGACAACAGTGCCTCACGGAGAGATGCAGTTCGACGAAAGACTGCGCAGTACCTGGCGCGTGCGGAACAAATATACGAGCATCGACTGGCAAGACGCATGGAAGGTGAACGGCGGTGGTCTCTAAGTCAAGGTCCCGAGGTTTTGGAGTCCTGTGCTCCTATTTCTGGCAGCTTTTCAGTGCCTGCGTGGGGTCCTGGTCTGAGGGGACCCATTCAAGACCTGAAACACTACAAGGTCATCGGTGTCGTCGGCACTGTGCTTCTTGTCCTGGATATGCGGCGAAGTCAGACTGTTGTCATTAAGGTGGGCTTGGTCACTGAATAAAGATCTGTGCTTCTGTGTGTGCGTTTTGAGAATAAGCTAGGTTTAGTTTGTGTCACCACGTGTGAATTATAATACAACTAAATTATGGTATAAGAGCAATGGCAAAAAAATACATGCTGAATTGTTGATGCTAGCGATGTCTGAATGGTGAAATTTCCTAAATATGTCAAATACGAAAGTGGTCACCTAATATCAAGTCGAATATGGTATTATTTTTTTTCTGAAGCAATGTGGGACATGAAGTTTATGTGAAGTACGTTTCTGAGAAAAGGAAATAGAAATCATTTTTCAATAAAGTGTCACAATGTAAGGAGTACAGTATTATTACCTGAATTGCTTGAACTAGCATATCTCAAAGAATGTGCCAAGTTGAAACATTGTGCGGCTTCAAACCACTGCCTCCTGACGGTCACAGGTGCTACACAAGAGTCCCGGTGGCTCGTCAGCTGGTCGCCCCAGTGTGGTGCCTCAGGGTGTGCCCCACATGGCCCAGCTGCTGTGCCTCTACGAGACAGACTGCTCGTACTTCCTCGTGCTGGAGTATGCCCCGGGCGGCCGACTCTGGGACTGCCTGGCGCCGTACTTCACCAACCAGCTGCCTTTTCCCAACCGTGCTCGCGAGGTGTCCTACACGGGATCCCCTTCACCCCCCTCGAATGGGTCGCCGGCATCTGCATGCTTGCCGAGTGGTGAGTGGGCCACCAAAGTGGCTCTTGTTTCCCATCTCTCATGGCCGAATGACTGCGGAAAATGCTTCTTATCTTCAGAAACCGAGTGGATGCTTTAACACCGCGTGCGTGAAGCTGGTATTGCCGATGTAAAAGTGCTGACATGCAGTTGAACAGTTGTTGAAGCTCCGCCTCATGCTCCTCACACGTAGCAAAGTTGAAGGTTTTTGTGAAGTTGGTCGCCCAAACCAAATCTCGGCCTTTGATTCATTCTCACTTTTGCAATGCCTTGAAACAGAGTGAAATCGTCTCGCACCACTTATAAGTGTAGCAAGGTTTGATTGCGCACAAACAAGTAAGCAAGAGTACGGCGCGCATTACTTTTTTCTGTGCTTCAGTGACCTGGAGCATCGGGGAGAGCCTGTGTGTAGCACGATGTTATAACGCATAGAAACAGGCTACGTAGTGAATTATGTTGGCTGCCATGACAATGCCCAAATATTTAATTATTACACAGCTAAGAAGTTGTAATCTAGATTGCTTGTACATTGAACTCAATAAACTCACATATAAAAAATTTGAATGTGCTGCTACCTCTTTAATTAACTTAGCTTTTTTTTTACACTTGCTGTAGTGGACTAAGAGGGGGTATTGTTTTTATATATTTCACAACATTCATGTAACTGGTGTTCTAAGTATATTGTGTGACCTCTAAATGAAGCACCATGCTCTGGGAACGAACGGAAGCAGTAGACATGGTCGGACTATACCAAACATCAGGTGCTACATTTATTCAATTAATTTTACATCGATAATATTGTTAGTCAAATGAAATACATCACTAGTGATCGACACGCTAACACAACCTTCTGCAATATTGCTGTACACTCAATCAAACATAAGAACAAACACAAGGTAGCGCAAAGGCGATGTCGCCAATGTTCGACTCACCGTCAGGGACCAACGGGAGACGACGGCTCGCAGTTGCCACATCCCGCGGACCCTGACAGGAAGGGACCATCCACGCCAGCCGCCACGTGCCAAAAAGCTCCGCTCATATCTCGTGTGCCGCCAGCCATCCTCGCCGCCAGGCGTCACTGCTTGCACTGCTGTGCTAACCATGATGATAATGATTATGATAAACACTCTCGAGCACTACGCCACTTTCACTCGATGGTTGTAAACCTCAAATGCGGCCTATGCACGAAACATTTGTGCGCCACGAGGTGCAAAGGACTTTACAGGCGGTGCTAACACCCCCACAACATTTATTGTACTCCTTGTACCTGAGAAAAAATGTTTTTTTCTTTCTTTCCAGGTGAACCTGTACCTCTGCCTCCCTCGGAATGTGATTTTGCTATTGCTTGCTCAGAATCTCAGGCCACAATTACTGGGGCATCAGTCGTGTCTACCCTTGCTAGGACTTCTCCAATCGAAGGACGTGTTTCAAGTGATCAAGCATTGGTCAGCACCACCGATGCGTCTAGAGTACAAACGGATACCAATGAAAATTCGTTACATTTGCCATCCGTCGTTACCACGGCACCTTCTCAAGACAGTGTAGAGATTCCCAAGGACCCAAATAACTGTGATGTGCCAGGCTTGGAAAAGCCCATCAACATTCTGACCATTGACAAGCCGAACAAAAACCATTTGAGTAGTAACAAAAACAGGAGTCAGGTGGTGGGCAGGTCTCTAGAAAACATTGTCGGCAGGAACAATGCCCTCAACGTGCCGATCTCCAAGGCAGAGAGTCACAGTTACTCTGGTGAGTGTCCAACTAACCAGGAGGCCAGAAAAGATGCTCCAAAGAGTGCGGGCAGCCCCAGAAAGCCAGCAAAGCAGTCGCTTTCCTCTCAAGCTGCCGAGGCGTTCCGTGAGCTCGACAGCCTCTCCAAACAACTAGCCAAGCCGAGCCACCTTCCAGAAGCCTGTATCCGGCTCTGGGCTGCAGAAATTGTGATGGCGCTCGGGCACCTTCATCGGCTGGGTGTCATTAGGCAGGACCTCTGTCCTCATGACGTCCTTTTGGGAGAAGGGGGTGAGTGATTAACAAGCATGTGCAGACCGGGGTGCATGTTTTAACGTCCTGAAATCGCCCATATTTGTGTGCGCTATCAGTGTATGAATGTGTATCAGTCTATGACAGCGATAGTGTATGATGTACAACAAAGTGTTACTGTTCTTTTTGGAGAGAAACTTTGTTTGTATTAGTCAAGTAGGAGTGAAGTTACAGGAATTCGTCATTCACGTTAAGCTCCACCTGATGAAAACAGTTGCTGTGGTTCCAGTGAATGCTACAGCTGCTGCCGTGTAATTTTGGCATGCTACAGAGCCTAATGTCGCTGCGTAGCGGCACTCTGTGGTGAGGAGCACATTTGATCCAAATGCCAGTCTTTATTTGTGTGGGCTGACTCTGTACAAATGTGAGCACATCAAACTAGATGTTCACTTAGCAGAAGACAGCTGCATAATATATCTTGTACACTATTGGCTTCAGAAACTAAAATTTTCGTTTGTGATGAGAGACAGGGGAAAAATTCCTATTCGCCCTATGGCTGAAGCAAAGTATAAAATGTGATTAAAAAGTTTTTATCAAACCACTAATATTGAGGGTGCTGAGGCGAGTTTTCTTGGTAAGTTCACTACCTTTATCTTGTAACCTCTTGCAGAGATCTTTCAGATAAAGCGGAAAACACTGTAAAGCATGTTCGGTCTGTAAATATGTTCGGCCTGTTAGCACCACTCAGTTGCCTTCTAATAAAGTGTTGTAACTGCGTTTATTCGCGTTGTCTCACATATGGTGTTACAACTTGCTGTTTCTCGACAGGTCATGTGGTCCTCACGTACTGCTGCTACTTCAATTGTGTTGATCGGTCACCCAGTCAGTTTGCTCGGGAGAATCAGTATTGTGCTCCAGGTAAGTCAAACAACGCCTTGCGTAGCCCTTGTATGGTGTTGTGGTTCGTTGGAACTCACAGAAAAGTCTTGTATTCCAAGACCTTTGCCGCTCTTAAAGAATATCTCAAAGCATGCAAAGAAAGCTTCCTGATTATGACTTTTGTAAGCACTCGCCTTCGCTTTTGCAGATTTCTGGGGTAGCTATTTTTTAATGTTTCATTCCTAACAATAAACTAGTTATTTTGTAGCTGTGATTCTGTAATAAGTGGAATAGAAAATTTTGTTTTGCTGTCTCAAATTCAAGCTATTGTGTGTGGTATTTGTTTTGCAAGTCACTGTAGCTACACGTGCTATTAAAAAAAACTGGTAATTGGTTATATACTGCCATTTGCATAGATTTGATGATTAGAAAAAGAAAAGTCACAGCTTTGCTGCAAAGGCGAAGCAATAAATGTGATACCAACAAATTGGAAGGTCACTTGCAGAATGGCAAGCAGATCGAAATGTGCCTCGCGTTTCTCATGCACAAATGACGCACGAAAGGTACTCACAGGTACAGATGAATGGGAATAAGCATCTCAGTTGCTACTTCACCCTGCCTGAAAAGCATGCCCCTTTTCGCAAACGAAGGATGTGCAATGATTGCAGTGACCTTTGTGTTCCTGGTAACTACAACAGTATACGTACGAGACGTACGTACTCCCCCCACTGCAAGATAAGAGCACGCGATTGAGCGTACACCCCCTTATTCTCTCTGCGGGCCAAAGTCCGCGTGAGAGATGAGAGCGACCCCACGCTCACTGTGCCATCTTGCTGGATAATGCTGAAAACGCGATAGTTCACCCCCCCCCCCCCCCCCCCCCCCCCCCCCCCCCCCGAGACTCCTGCCAACAGCGGTAAGTGAAAGTGGTAGGTATAAATAGCTTGCCGTTTGAACGTCCAACAAGGTACCCCACGGTGGCTCAGTGGTAATGCGAGGCATTACCACTGAGCCACTGTGGAGGTCCACCTTTGATTCCGCGCGCCGTAGTCTTTTTCTGGATTTTTTTTTCTTTCTTGCATTTTCATATATATAGATACATATACATATATGGTGCATGACGCCAACACCGACGGCAAAATCCAGCCGAGAGTGTCATAAGTTGCTATCACAATAATAATAACCAGAATGCTGCAGTTGATATAGTCCTTTACGTTGTTCATCAGTGTTGATAGAGATACATGAAGTACTGGTCACTTATTTCATAGTACCACACACTTCTTGGCATCATTGGCACAAATTGATTGCAAGCAATAGGTAATATAAGTGTTAGGAATGTATCAAATGGAGTCTCCTTACGTGATATCGGCCTGTCTGGCATCCTTATTTGTAATCACTATCTGCGTCAGCACAGAGCTACTTTTATTTTATTTACACTTGTGCGAATATCCGAATGCTTCGAATATTCGAACGAATAGTAGAGTATTCAAATACGGTTCGATTCGAGTTTAAATTATCGAATATATCGTAGTATCCTATATTGTGATGACGTGAGATTGACGAGCACACTGGTGGAGGTGCTGGGTACGTCTTCATGCTTGGCACCCCTTCGCGGACCCGACATTCGAGCCCGGAATCACTACCACCCGTCGACACACCAGTCCACCGTTCCAGCCGCCGTCTGCGAGGCCTAGCTCCTGAGCTCAATCCCTTGCCAGAAACTGCCAGCAATCGCTTGTCTCCTTCAACCACCTCGGCCACTGCAGCTACATCGCACATGACACTTCAGAATCTCATGATTTCTGACTGCTTTCATGGTGAGACCTATGAAGACGCACAAGACTGGCTGGACCAGTTCGAACGCTGCGCGAAGTACAACCAGTGGGCCACCCCAGAAGACAAGCTCACGAATGTGTACTTCTACCTGAAAGACAACGCCCAGACGTGGTACATCAACAGGGAAAGAAGCATGGCTACGTGGGACGACTTCCGCAACCAGCTGATCGACACCTTTAGTAGTCTTGACAATATGAACGAATAGGTCTATATTAATTCCCAGGTAACTGCTTGTAAGGGTGGTTTCACTGCAGTGTAGAAGTGCTAAACCATGAAAGCATCTATCTAAGGGAAATCGGCTCTGCCGCAAAGCCCCATTTCAAATTTAAAGGGGCGCTTCAACACTTTTTGAGCATGGTCAGCAAACGCTGCCCATCAGTAGTCGAGGCTAGAGATAACGCGTGAGCTAAATATTATAGCGCAGCACGCGACCTGGAATTCGCAATAAATTCTCAAAGTCAGATGAAAATTGCTTTCTTTTCTTGGCAAATGACGCCACAATGTCGAAAATCGCTCGTCAGCCGTTGTACTAGCCATTGGCTGATTGGAGCATGGGGCGCTCCGACGTTACTAGGGCCGCCGCGGGTGGCCGCAATTTGTCCACGCGTACATGCGCGATTGCACTGGAAAGCTGCATGTTCAAAGAAAAAAAAAAAAAGACAAAGAATGCTCGACGTAACGATGCGCACGTGACGTACTTTCTTTCCCCATGCCATCTCTCGGCTTTGCTTCAAACGCTCTCGTCGGGACAAGGAGAGAAAATGAAATTGCAGCATGTGGCAAATCGCAAAACTCCGCTCATGCTGGACAGATTCAAAAAGGTTTTACGGTGGTTAATTCATGAGGCAATAAGCTTCTTTAGTGAATCTATTCCAAGGCTACTTGAAAAGCTGTTGAAAAACCCTTTAAATGAAAATACGATCTTCAAATCGATCGATCCTTTTTTTAAAGCTTAAAAGCTTGTTTTACCGACTTATACTCTAACTGCAATGAATAATGTTACGTATATTACATATTACCACTTGCATTCTACTGAAAGTTAAATCGCGATACTTTTCAAAGTTGTTTCGACTTCCTTTGAATGGGGGAAAAAAAAAGAAGCATCTGAACAGCAACCTTATTTCAATTAAAAAAAAAATATTGTGCAGGTTAGTTAGGTCATGATAAATATGCCCTTTTCTTTTTATACACCATATATTCTATTTGAGTTCGATTCGTAAATATTCGACCAAAATCACTATTCACTTCGAATCAGCTTAGAACTTAAAATTCACTATTCGCTCAAGCCTAATTTTGTTGGTACTATAACTCTAACATTGTCTCTTTCTAAATTCCTCAGAAATCGACAACTTGGGTCCTGTGACGCCAGCATGTGATTGGTGGAGTTTTGGAGCGCTGTTGTACGAGCTGTTCGCTGAAGCTGTGAGTGTAGTGGTCCTTCCTTATTATGGCGCGCTTTGTCACCAGAGAAATGCTGTCTCCTTGCCGAGACTGCTCCGTGCGGAGCTGTCGAGATGTATGGTTATTTACGTGGTGAACATCTGCAACATAGTGTGGGTGTTGGTGCAGATGCGTGTTTGCTCACGTAAGTTGTGTGGGTTGGCGAGGTCGAGATCTTGTTGAGATGTCACCTGGTCTGGAAGAACCGTTGTGAAAACAAAACTGACATCGACCAAGCTGGGGAAATAATAATAATCATAAAATACATTTCAGACCCTATACAAATCTTGCTTGTATTTATTTATTTATTTATTTATTTAAAAAATATCTATATAATAAATATATATATAAAAATATTTAAAAAATAAATATAACATATATTTATTTAAATAAATATATAATAATATATTTATTTAAATCGACCAAGCTGAGGAAATAATAATAATAAAAAATATATTTCTGCCCCTATACAAATCATGCTTGTTACAATGTTAGGTAAACATGTTAGGTAAACGACATGGGCATGTGTTTGGTGAAGTGAAGCAGTTGACGTAACATATGGTGTGAGCATACATTGTGTCAAGATTTTAACTCTTATCCAAAGTTTGTGTTTTCCAGGAATGTGAAAACTGAAAGTGTGTGAGGTGCTGATTCGAGTCAGCAGGTACTTACGATTCCCCTGCCCTTATATTTGTGCAGATTGCTCAATAATTCAGTTATATTGCTCAATATTCAGTTAATAATCTATTCAAAGCTATTACAAAAGGAAAGGGAATTAAAAAAAAACACAGAATTTGTAAATGTGTGCATATTTTCGTGGATATAGTTTACAGATTTGTGAAGGGACGGCCTTCGTACTAGAATCCGTAAGCTGTTGAACATTTTAAAAATTATTTGTGGGAATGTTGTCATTGCTAAAAAATGCCTTCGCTCAACGTGGCATAGGTCTACTAGCATTTAATTAGGGGGGCTATCCGGCTGGTTAGTATGCACGCTTATGTTGTGCTTAATTTTCTCATTATCATAAACACAGAGGCCATGTGTTGAAATTCTCTTCGCTATGCTGTTGTAATTATGGGCACACTTACTACAGCTGTGAGCTAAATGCTACTCATACTGGCTGATGCACTTGATGATCTCTGTGTGTGCTCATGTGTATGCCGCGTGGCTTATTATTTTTTTTTTCTTTTGTCATTTCAGCCATTGATATTATGCCATCCCGGTGGTGTTACACCAAGCACTCGCCTTTATATTCCCGCCCATGTTTCTGCCGAAGCTGCAGACTTGTTGGAAAAGGTAAGGAGTCTGGATCACTTATATTTCACCGCAATAGATATTTGTCACGCTTAGAGTGTGGATGATAATCGTAGAACACCTTGACGTACATACCAGTTTTCGACGATTGTAGACAGAAGCGCTGCAAGTTGCAGTATCGCTGCTTCAGTCGACAGCCCTTTCTGCCTCTTACATTTTCCAATGAGGCTATGTGCATCCTAAAGAGTTGAGATATGGGGATATTCCTCAGCTACAAAAAAAAAACAAACATGTACTCGGCTGCTTGGGCTGCTAGTTAGGCCTCTAGAAGTGGCAACAATCCATTGACCTTTGAATTGGTATCGTTAAAAAAAGCAAGTTCTCTCTCTTTTGTCTTTTCTTTCCTGTCAAAGCTCTTGGAATACCATGCTCATCAGCGTCTTGGCCACGGCCCCACGGGCACCGAAGACGTCAAGCGTCACCCCTTCTTTGCAGCGATAGACTGGAAAAGAATGAGTCTCCCGAAGTGAACCGTGTAACCTCGAAGTCTTGCTCATGATTTCCACACTTTTCATCCCCACATTCACGTCACTAAAAACTGTTCTCATTTGGGACTGATGTGTGAAGGTCATAGTCGTTTCCATCCAGCACTCGCCAGAGATGCATTTTGAATGTCAACACTGGACTGCTTCACTGAAACCATTCTCTTCTCACCATTGATGATACTTGCAAGCAGAATCGCCATCGTCATTACACTACGTGTCACATATGTTGAGTTTGCTAATGTGTTGTTTATTTGTTGTGCTCATCTGAAACTCGTCGCTGGCTTGAATTCCCGCTCATTGTCTCACTGTCAGTGCCTTGGCAGCTGACCGCCAGTGGCTGTGTCGGAAACAAATGTGTCTGTGATTGATCTTGTCTGATGCTCTTGTGAACATCTGAGGTATTTGCCAGTTAAATGTCAATAAGGCAAGCTTTAATGTAATAAATTTCTTGATGTAACGAAATAGGTAACGTTTTACAACTTTGCCTTCGTAGAATGGCTCATATTTATCACCTTAACATTATGAAATGCATCAATCCGCAGTCTTGAGGTGATCAAATTTTACTTCTGCCGCATAGGAAGATTAAGGTGATAAAATGAAATTTCTGCAGGTACTAGTAGACAAATGGCGTAGTTGTGCCTGGTTTCTGCTAATACATTCCTCAAATTGCATCCCGTATGACGGAGAGTGGCCGACAAAGTGGAACGTCTTTTCTGACAACAACCAAGCTCGAGTCAGCCAGTGCCCTCAGCACTGCAGTGTCTTCATGTCATTAATGGGTTTATCACTAAATCATGGCTGATGGGGAATGATAGGCTCCAATTATAACTACTTCTTGGCTCATTCTGCAACTAAATGCTTTTATTGTAAGCCTTTCGGATATATAGTAGAGTATCGTTAAATGGAAACTGAAAGGGCGAGGAAAATGTTTTCTGTTTAACAGCAGTTGTCTTTACTGGGAGGTGAACAGGGGAGCAGAATTCAAGCACGGAACCAATCATATTAGAGCCAGCTGTTCTATTTGAGCAGCAGTTCTATTAAAAGATTCCTGAATCTATTTTAACTTAATGAGAGGCAAAAATCTTCGAATTATTTTTATGAAAACTACATAAAAATAATTCGAAGATTCGTGCCTCTTACTTTTGCACCTTACTTTATGAAAACTACATGAAAGGGCGAGTTAGGCAGCCTAACGTTTAAACGGTGTGAAACGAAATGATTCAAAACTTGCCCTTGATCTGACTTTTCGTTCTTTCAGTTGTATGATTGTTTCATTTCTATTTTTAGCTTTCATATTCACTTTTGCATGATAGCTTACAATCTAGCATGCCATGATGTAATGAGAGAGGTGCCATGAACACATCACGGTGACATCGTTGCATTCGTGTTCACCTGGCATTTCGGTGATTTAGTCAAGTTTAGTGGAACAATAAAAATGTACCGTTCAAGGCCTCATTTTATGCTTTGGTTTTTAACAACAAAGAACTTGATTGTTATAGAAAGAAAGAGAGCACTCTTTTGCGTTGAATCACATGTAATATATGTACTGCAATCCTGAATGCTAAATGTTGCAACAGTGTGGTGCGGCGGCATACGCATCTTCATATGTGAAGCTTGTATATTTGTCAATGAATTGTGTAAGTGCAGGTGCGCTGCGTGTCAAAGCTGTTCTGGCTTTTAGTTTGCTTCATCGTTACTCTCAATAATTTCTTGCTTTTCTTTCATTATCGTTATGAACACACAGATCTTTTTTCCATTGTAGACGATACGTAGAACAAAGACAAAGCACGCCGTCAAGGGGACACTAAACAGTTTGTGGAGCACGCTTGTGGGTATTCCCTCATGAGAACAGTTGGAAGCACAGAAGGAAAAATAAAAACAGGTATGAAAGACAGACACAGACTAAAAGCATTTTTGCTGTGTGACTACATCACGCTTCTGTAGTACGAAAAGAATAACCATTCTTCTTGCAGGTGGAGTATTCGTAACCTATAGAAAACAAATAAAATGAGATGTGTGCCTAATGTTCCCTCACCAACTCTTATGCGATTGGTTTAGACAACATCTGTTGAAGATTATCGGTGAAAAGGGATGATGTTGCATTCTAAAAGAACCGAGGAATGAACGCAATAAGGGCAGAGAACATTTTATTGACTGTGATGGCTCAAATATTAGAAAATACCTCGAAATACGCGATACCAGTGCTGGGATTTTCGTTTGAAATTCTGTAAAGAAATGACTGGCTTCCGTTATTTTCACCCGTAATCAACCCTTCCTTTTTCTGCCAAAGAAATAATAATAGCGGCGCTCAAGGGCTGCTCTGGTAGTTTTAAGGCAATTTTGTTTTTCATGCTAATTGTGTGAAAATTAGTTGAGGAGAGCAAAATATATGAAACTGACTTGGTGGAGAAATATATGCAATGTGACGTGGTGGTGCCTGTGTCGACAAAGTGCAGCAAAGTGTGGTTCTCGGCATCATCGCAAAGCATGTGTTCACTTTGGCCACTGTCACTCCTCACTTTTAGCTCTTTACATCAGGTAGCGAGTTTAACTCGAAGCTGATCGCTGAAGTGTTGCTGTTGTGTGTTTACCAATGGCGAGTTTTCACTCATAAGTCGCGGCTCTTGAGGAACTGCAGCTTACTCCGGTAAACCCAGGCTTTAATGAAGACGTCAAAAGTTATTTTTTTAGAGCAATTTTAGGAATGAGGTCCTCAGGCTTTGTCTCGTGATAGTGCTTCTTAGGTCACAGTAAACTTTTGCCTGTATTTTATCTTTTGTGAAGTACGAGTAGATTGAAAAAAAAAAAAAAGAAAGAGAGAGAGAGAGAGAGAACAAGCCATTAGCTTTGTCCATTCACCTTTCGACCGTCCATCATCATCCAGTGTGCTGTGCACAGTGAGAGAAATCCAATGCAGTAGACTTCCTTATGGTGAACGTAAACGAAAATCACAATAACCTGATTGCGAACTGAGCTCTAGAGCAATCCCACACATTCTCCAGAAAACTACCTACAATAAGGCTACAATTTACAGCTTGTAATATTCTTGCACTGAACTTTAAATGGTCACAGCATCTTGAATTTCATGGGCGGCGCAGTTTTTCTCCACACTTCTTCGCAACACCCATTTCTACGAGTAAACTAAAATGATTGGAATGGAAATTGATTCTGATGTCAACATGCACTGGCCTGCTCAGTTTCTGGTGTAGCAGAGGCTGCAACATGTGAACTTAGTGGGAATAAATGTGAGCAGTACTTTTATTAATCCTTTTATGAGTAGCTCACTGTCAGGACATCATGATTATGTTTAAGAAGCCGAATGTTCTATTTTGAGACCGAATTTGCGGTGAATTAAACAGTGTTGCCAGCCTTCGCACTTGCTATGTTTAGTCTCTTTCATTGATGTTTAGCATGAGTGTGCAGGTATGATTTGATTTCTAGTCATGGCGGGGAAGAAATGGGGAAACATCCGTGTGCTGCTTTGACTTGTGTGCACGTTGCAGAAAACCAGATAATCAAAATTAATCCAGAATCTTTCAATGTGGTGGGCCTCATAATCTTGTCAACACCAGAATACAGTCTTGAATTGCAAGTCAAACATTAAGCGAACTATTTCTGCGACATCGATGTCAGTGCTCTTTTAAACTTACTCAGGTCGTCAGAGAATAAATTTGTTCTATCCAAGTTTGTCTAAAACAAGTCTACTGTAGCTAATAGAGGGTACGGTTGTGTGCATGGATTTATGCGTCATGGTGAACAATATGTCGCATGTGCCAAATTTTTGCATTCCTGTTTCAGTCACCCTTAAAGTGCTGACTCTGTAATCACTGCCTCTGCTTTCTTCCCCTCTTGATCTATGTTGCTACGTAAAATTTGATTTGGAGACTTCCCATTGGAAGTTCTGTTGCCGCTGCTGTTGTGAAGCGAGTGATAGTTGACTCTGCATTTAATTAAAATATCACGTTAGCATCACTGAAATTGTGTTCCTTGATGTGTCCCTTCTTCCATCTCAGTTTTTCTCATGTCCTGCCAAGTTGGGGAAAGTGGCATGATGCCGGATTAGTTTTCTGGCACACTTGCTATAAAGTAGCATGAAATTTCATGTTACTGGTATTCTTAATTTGTAATTTTGACTAAGCTATTGTAATATGTCATTTTCGTTAGGTTGTTGTGCCATATGTCTTATTCGTTGCTTTTGAGTGCCTGTTAAAAGCAGTAAAACGGCTCGGTAGTGCACTTCTACCTGCAGTACAACTATCTATGAAAAAGATGAAACAATACTCTTTCAAAACAACATGTATATTATGCTGGAATGGAATACAATAAAGACATGAAGAATATTCACAAGTAAATACAGCGATAAACGTACAATCACAACTTTCAGCCGAGTATTGCATAAGTTCATTCCTGTGTGTCAAGTATATAAGGCACAACACTTATACACATGAGTACATTTCGAAAGTAGGTAACAACAGTAAAAAATATATAGTATACCGTATTTATCACTACAAGTTCTTGCAGCCAAAACACTCTTATGAGAAATGTGGTTGGGCTGGACAATAATTGTATACATCGCACAATTATTGACTTCGATAAAAGAGGTAAGTCATAAAAAAGCCTTTGTTTGCGACCAGTTGCGTATTCTTGTACATAAGCACATCACCAACGAAAAGCTGCCACATAAACACCCAAAATTTACTCCAAGGATGTTTTTATAGCTAGGAAGAGACAAAACATCATGCACTGAACATTTACAAAAAAAAAAAAAAAAAAATCTGTATAACTGTTCATAATGGCAGTACAAAAGTACAAAGCCAACGCTACTGCTTCCCGAGAAAGTGTTCTGTGAGCATTGCCACGGTCTGCGTTCGGCTAGGAAAGATACAGATTCATTCCCACCCACAACAATGGGAGCTGAGGTCTAGACAACATCGATTGAACCAAAGGCATGCCCAATTGTGCAACATATTCATTGAGACGTGATTGGGAGCTTGTCCACGAAGTTTCACACGAGGTCTTTCTATGCTTTAAACACCACATGTCTTTTTTTTCTACACCCTTAAACGATTCAGAGGTAATCAAAAACAACAGTACTGGGAGCAGCTCTTGGCAGCTGACTATGCAGAAAACATCAAGTAATGTCACGGACGCAGAAGAAAATTCAAAGACATAATTTTCTCGCCGCAAAATTGCTGCTACATGAACAGGCTACTTGTGACATGTTTCACTGGGCTCAGAAAGTTGCCCTCTCGTGGAGATGTCGCATTGTAGTTGAGATACCATTGTGGTCTGTGCTCAAGCTCATTTGAAAAAAGAAAAGTGAGAACTTGTAAGCTTTCTCATCGTGTGGTTTGGCACTGTGAACAGTTCTCACTTCACCCCATTTCTATTACAGACTGACCACTTGCGACATGTCACTCAAGTGGTAAGTTTAGCTACTGACAGCGAATTAAATAAAAGCTTACAAAGCGAAGCATCAACACTTACTACGCTAGGACTACATGCACGAAGCAACATTTTACATATAACCAAGTCATTCTACGCATCCTTCCCCTCGAGCATTTTCTCTAGTGTGCAGCTTGTACAATCGAGGGATACACAAACCTCGTGTTACACTGCTGTTAAGTATAGTAACCTCGTCTATTCACAGTACCACAGTGTTACCAATCTCACTGACCTGTACGTGTGTCAGAATAATGCAAAAGGAACACACTGGTTATGCTCAAGTGCAACACTGCTTATATGCATTCAGGTTTTTCCCAAAGTTAAAGTTTAACGCACTCAGGTGCAGGATACAAGTATGTTCATTTGCACTGTTCTCTCCGATAAGCCCTAAAGCACTGGCAAAGAGTACAGTGTGTTCAGGTGCTGCACAAATTTGACAAAGAAGTCCTGCTAGTAACGCAGTCCTGACATTTCTCATAACAATCGCGACAAGACATACAAACATACATTGCTTCTCCTGTAGTGCGACTCGAGCACATCCGAGCACACGAACTCAGTTTCCTCGTAGGAAGTGCTGAGTTGCGTGCGGCAATGTTGCGGGAATTTCAGTCCTGTACATCGGACGCTTGGTTCTCTTCTATGTTCGTGGGTGACTCTTGAACGACCACTGTCGGCGGAAGCTCGGTGATGCCGTGGCTTTGCAACAGTTCCCTGAGGGAAGATATCTCTTGCTCCAGGGCGTTGCAGTAGTCGCGGTTTCTGAGCAGGTCCTGCATCAGCTTCTCACGCAGCTTGCATTCCCGCATCAACTGACGTTCCGCTTGAGTCTTTACCGTGAGCACTATGCCTGTGGGGCGAGAGGCGCAGGTAAGCAAACTCTTCTTCACAATACATGACGGAGTGTACAAGTTCCCAGCAATGTGAGAAAAAAAGAACGAAGCAAGTTTCTTCGAGGAATAGAGAAATCAGTTTGGCTGGGTACACACAGTTTTATTGAACACTGCCATGCCCATGGGTACAGAACAATACTCCTCCAAAGCAGCCTCTTAAAGGAATACTGACCTAAAATTTTCATACATTGTTTGATCTGTTGTAATAAGTAGCCAACGAACTATCTTTTATAAGCTGCACATTATTGAACGAAGGACGAGTACGTATGTGCTATTTGGTCAAAAATAAACTTTCACCTCCTTGTCCAACTTGCCTCTTGACCCAGTTATTTCGACTGGAGGTCTTGTTTGCTTGAGTGTGCAATGATTAATTATTTGGAGATTGTTCTGTTGTCCCTAGAGAAAGTGCCCTTTTAGTGAACATCGAGCTGAGCAAGATTCAGCAGGGTTTTCCTGTCAACACAACTAGCTACATCAGCAGTGAAAATGGTGAGCACTGCATTGATAACTCTTTTTTAACGAAGGTTTCCTTGGTACTGCCAAGGCAGTTCTAAATATGAGTGAACGCTCAGCAATTCACTGCTGAGGCACCAACTTTTGTACTCCCATACAAGTTCATAGAGGAGATGCTGCCTTTCTCCATTAAAAATGTCTGCTAGGAGAAAGCGCTCGCAGGGAGCACAGCAACCAACACAAACTTGTCGCGTGGGTGTTTGACGGTTGTTTACATGAAAGCAAGTTGTTGTCTATTTCGAGACGTGCTGTACATAGGTCGGCGAACTCACTCATGAGTTGACTCACTCAGACTCTGATCAAGCCGTGAGTCTGAGTAGGTCCGGCTGAGTAATATTTTGGTGAGCCCCGAGTCCGACCGAGTCCAGTTGAAGGAAATTCTCACGAGTGTGAGTCCGAGTGAGTTTGGCCCTAGAAAATTGTATGTCTGAGTGCAGGTGAGTCCAAAACGCAAAATACATTTCTTGAGTAAGTGACATGATGCTATGTACTAATCTTCAGCATTACTATCAGCCTTACCTAGATTAATGTTTTCACTGATGTTTGTTCACAGGTATTCCAAAGCAGTTTTGTTCGTACACCATTTCATTATTTATCAATCAAAGGCGTGAATTACATAGGGGAAGTGCGTTGACCCTCACCTCAGACTCTTCCGGAGAAATTCTTGATAAATATGTATTATGTAGTTATCTCTTCCAAGAAAAATGACCCAACTAATTTGTGAGCACTCATTACGCATATTCTAAGGTACCTATAGTATCACACAACGCGAAGAAGAGCACCGATTACGTGGTATATTGTTGTTAAGAAAGAGAATTGGCATCTTGGTCGAGAAAGCTAATTCTAGGCTTATGGACTCATGAGTCAACTCACTCAGACTCTGATCGCGTTATGAGTGCGAGTTCGAGTGAGTCCGGCCAAGTAATACTTTTGTGATTTTGAGTCTGAGTGAGTTCTGTTGAATAAAATTTTGGCGAGTCTGAGTCTGAGTGAGTTTAAAGCGCCAAATGTATTTCATGACCGAGTCTGAGTGAGCTCCGCAGGTTTCGCCAACCTATGGCACTGCTCCATTTCATGTGCACTTGCATTCAAGGATATATTTTCCCCTGATATTTTGTAGGTGATGTGTGCACATCAACACTAATAAACCTCGCAACTTATCTTCGGAATTTTGTGTCAGAAATCCTGTAAAGGTACACTACAGGTCAAAATTGTCTCACGTTTTAAGCGCTCTATCTTCATGTATTCTATAAATGTACCCTTTTTGGAAAAAAACAGCTTCTTTGAGGGGGAGACAAATGTTGGGCCAGCCCAGTGTTGCTACACATGGTATGTGTCTCTTGTAACTCGTTCCACAATTTTCAGAGATATGAGCACAAACGGTGATATGGTAATGTGCGTTGCTCTGAACGTGCATAATGTATATGGTTTCAAATAGAAAACACTGCTTCAAAGTAAACTCTAATGGTAACTGGCACTTATTATGTATAGTAAAGCAAAGTAGAGAAATGTACACACCGTGCTTCATCATTCAAATTCAAGGTAAACAGCATAACTTTTTGAACAAGTACAAAAGAATGAATGAACCTTGATAGAACAAGCAATGACCGACTTGAGAATGCCGATGCACATAAGGAATGTGTAGATGTTGCACAACAAGATAGGATGAGATTTGGCAAACATTGATGAAGCACGGCTCACTATTATTATTGCACGTATCAGAAATGAAAGTTCTTTGATAAACTGGTGTGTGGTTTTCTAGCATTTGGTGTTGTAACTCCATACAACATCTGAGCAGCTTCAGTTTTTTTACCATGTGCACTGATCATGATGTTTTTAGATTGCTTTGCTCTGTTCAAACAGGGATGTGCAACTAAGGGTGTGGCACGGAATGGCCTTAAAACCCTCGTTACCATTGCACATGTTGTATTTTTGCAACATGTGCAAACATTTTATTGCCTTTTCATCTGGCCTACAGTGCTTACCTTGAATCTGCATGGAACAAACTAGCTGAAAGTTGTGCTGTGCTACTTATACACGCACAGAAAACAATGCAGGAGGAATCACAAGTGCACAGGACGTGTGTGAAGCACATTACAGATAAAAATTGTGTCAAATTCGACATTGCCGTTATCTGCTTGTGCCTCTTACTGAATCATTTTTTCTTTGTGCCCCTTGGTAATGTTCTTCAAATATAAATGTGTAAAACCAACGAGCCCCTTTCTCGGCTGATCCAAACAACTAGCAAAAACTGACTCTACTAAGCATTGTGCAACTGCCATATCGGGAAAATAAGGGAGTAGAAAGGCACCGTACCGTTTAGGAGGCGTGCAACTCGCCAGAGCCGTAGAACAATGATGAGGCCGGCACCATTTGCAGCCGACTCTGGGTCCCTAAATGCTACATCCAGGGCGAAGGAGACGATGACGATCCCCGCGTCAAACACCTCCATCTTGTGTTGGAAGAAGCTCAGACGATAAGCGTACAACTTGGCGGCGATTTCCACCAAAAACAAGCTCAGGATGACAATGCTCAGCGAATGGATGATCTGCAAAGGCCCCGCATGGTGCTTATTTAGTAAGAAAGCATAGTGACGGTGCACAGCCTTTTGATGCTTGAGCATTCAGCATAAGGTTCTTGAAAAGGTAGGCGAATGGTTGTGAAGCCTACTGTATCTACTTTTATAACTCTACCACCTTTAGATATCAAGGTAATTGAGGGTAGTTAGAACCTATTAAAAGTAATGTTGATCTTACATTTACCATTAAATTGCCACTGACATTTAAAAATGTTTGTCAGCTGAATGCAAACCCATTTTCTATTCTCACCACATTTGGAAGCTCAACCACTTTTACAAAGGAAGCGCAACCAACACAGAAAACAAGGGAGCAAATCCGAATATAATAATAAAAGCTTGAAGCATTTATAAAATTATTTACCAAGTTTGCTTTATTGCAATATGACCACAATTGTAGCACAAGGGGTGACATCCAAAAGAAAAAAAATAATATGGTATTATTGAACTTTTTAGACAACTTGAATTCAGGTATTTGATTGTAACACGAGGGTCGACTCCACGTAGTGAAAATAGGGAAAATTTGGGAAAAACAGCGTATTATATTTGATTAAATACAGTAATCAACATTTAAAAAAAAACAGGGAATTAACATTTTTATAATGAAGAGTCTCGGTTCTTGAACCAGCTACACTGGGTAAAAAATGTTGCAAAGATTCCGAAATAAATGTTAATTGACTAGACTAACATAGTGCATTAAAAACTTGATTCCTAAGTTTTGCTCAAGAGATGCTAGGTTTATGGTAACAAAATAATGTCATGAGTTTTGTTACAGTGTGAAATTTTGGGAGGTTACATTGTCACTGTGCTTATTTTTCAGTGCGAAATAATTATCTTCCATTGTTAAATGATTCATGGTCCTGGGCAAACTGTTTTATGATTTATGATGCCAAAGGGTATTCTGTGTGGAACAGTATGAAATCAACAGCTGGCTTATATTTCTATATCATCCTTCATTAAGCAGACAATCATAGTAAGACTGACTTACTTTAATATGTAATTTAGAAGTGCAATGTATTTCAGTAAAAAAAGAAAGACATTTCATGATGTTCTTAATTTCTCATTAGTTTTTCAGGGAAAGATGGAGTCTCAAAGAGATTAAAAGTCCTTGTGACACAGAGTGTCATTGGAACGAACGTTTTCACAACTGGACTTGTCTTCTTCAGGAGTTGTAGTCTTGAAGAAAATTAGGCCTGTTAAAAGAGTAGCTCCAATCTTGCTCCGAGGATTTTTCCCCTGACCGATATTTGTAGCCTAACCACTTTCACGTAATAGAAGGATGAGAAATGTAGAGAAGTGGTGGTGATAAAATTGAAACTGTTATTGCTTATTTATTTACTTCTTCCTTCATGTTTTGCTTCTTATCTTTTGTGCTCTTTCTATTGTTCGAAATGACCTATTTTAGTGAAACATAATTACAGCACGCTCCCAAGACTAAGAGTAGCTTTCTTGCTTCTATTTATATGCCATTTCAAGTAACAGGTGCAATGCTGCGGAGGCTAGCGAGACTTCTTTCAGTAGTTGCGCTCACGTTAGAAAGTAGTTCAATGTTTCTACCACCCAGAATAAAATTTTCTATTTCGTTCTTGCTGCGAGTAGTAATCGAAGACGTTTTACGTCTTACAAATAAGTATACGCTTTTATGTCTGTTATTATGCAGCTGATTGCTTAGAGTCTACTAGCTTTCGTTTTTCAGTATTTAATTTGCAGCCCGTCGTGATGTGTCACTCAGAGACACACGCTCGGTCCCCTCGAGCATTTAAAATGACGAAAGTGGACCACGAGACGCATGGAGCTATAAATTCTGTCAATCAAACTTCTTGCATAACTTCCACAGCATTGCACCTGGTGTGTGAAATGGAATATACAGTCAAACTATTTTTATAAAAGGCACGCTACGGGCAGCAATACTTGTCTTTTTTATGAGATGTCTCTTATAAGCAGGGCACCTCATATGCATTTTCTTGTCCACCCGTATTTTACTGTAGGCACACTGACGTCTCTTATACCCATTTGTCTCTTATAAAGGGGCTAGACTGGTCCTTGGTTAGACTATAAAACACCATATATGGATTGCTACCAAAAGGCAGCTTAGGGGCACAATCGCTTTTCAGGTCTTTGCTTGCATTACAGACCGGTGTGTCACAAACATAAAAAAATTCAATACATTGTTACAATATACCAGTTACATGTCAGAAGCACTACTACAAGTACACAGACTAAGTGAACCTCTTTTCTTGTTTGGTATATTGCACAAAGCTGATTTTGTTGTTGGCATCAACAGAGTTGCAGAGGTTAGCATATATGGGGCAGGTTAACACGTCAATGCCATATTTAGAATTTTCATGTATCATGGTTTTTCAAACGTGCCTGACGGTTTCTTTTTGTAGACCACAACGAGACTCTACCTTAACTCGTTAAAAGACGACCCGAGCTTGTCATGAGTCGTCGCCATTTCACCTGCACTCGTATGGCTTTTCAGCAAATTATTTTTACGAGTCCAGCTCATTAAATTGTGTTTTGCTGTTTAAATCGTATACGGAAGCGTGGGTTCTGTGATTGGTGCTTTCATTGTATGTGAGTGCACACTGAATGGTGGAATGCACGCAACTGTGTTTCTCGTGCGCTATGAACGATTTCGACTGCATCCGCTTGGCATTCTCGTCTTGTAAATCTTTCTCCTTCAGATAATAAAAGTGCAAGTAATGAGGAGGTCGGTGTCGCTTCTGATTATTTGCATAATGTTTGAAATTGACCTCAGAATACATCTCGAAATCCCCAGGTGTGTAATTACAATGCAAGAAATGATAATTGAAGCATTATTATCCGATGTTCTTGCAAGTATTTTTTTGTTTTGAACATGTCACTGCAGCATTTCAAGTGAAAAAAAAGTGCAGTTTACAAAAAATGTTTTGTGGTTCAACAGATGCTTAAAATGTAAGCTAAATGGAAGCCGATTTTTCCAAGGCCGCCATGAACAAGTATAACTAAATCACTGTCATGCATTTCTCCAGACATCCAACCTTACATTCAATTCAGATATGTCATGTAATCATTTTTATATTGTTTTTAAAATTGAATGGACTCATTGTTATCATAAGGGAATGATTTAGTTGTGATTGAAGAGTGGGACTGCCTTCTTTAGCTTCTCATGCAAATTGAAAGGCTGATTTGTTAATGATATCGTTACAAGAAGGCTTGACATCGTTGCAAGGGAAGAAGCATCAGTGAACGCAAACTGTTCGAATTATGAGAAAGGGAAGAAAAATTGCTGCTAGAGGTAAATAACATGCATCTTGGTTGTAGCAATTACTCAAACATTGTCTCTTGCCACTGCTGTTGTTACAACTAGCCGTACCCACAATAAATATACACCAAGTAGCAACCAAGATTATTAACTTGATCTAACCATATTTGCATTATTAAGATCAAATTTGAAAAAAATTATGTATGGTCGAATTTTGCCAATTTCATTTGCTCGAGGAACGAGAGATCTGTTTGATTTAGGCAAAGTGAATTTGTGCCCGACAAGTAGTAGAGAGGTACGTTGCTAATATTGAAAAACGGTAAACATAAAGAAAACGAAAAAAAAGTTATACTGCTCTTCGCACTCTTTCTTGAGTGTTTTTGTAGCATGGTTTATTTAATGAAAAGTTCGTATGCAGTGGTGTTGATTCCTTGTGTGTGTGAGAACCACATGGTGCTCGGAGCAAATAGACGAAAATTGCCAGCTCCCTTTTGCGATGTTGTGGAAACAACCAAGACATCCTTGCACTGTTTCTGAACGTGTCATTCATGATACACAGCAATTATTAGTACGCTTGCCTTTGGTGCGATGTAGCTGTGTTCATGCAGCTTCAGGATCTCCAACTCGACAAGCAGTTCAGTGATGACTAGAAGGCAGTCGAGAACAACCAAAGCCACGATGGCAATCTGTGTAACACAAGAAAATTTAATGTCGCAATGTCGCTTACCACTCTGCAACCAACTCCAGGTTTTGAATTGTGCGGTGTGATTTTTCCAAAATGGGAATCAAGAAAAGAAAATTTTGTTTGCTACACACCTGAAACTTGGTAGAATGCAACAGGGCTGACAATTTCTCGCGGAATGTGACAAAGGGTCTGATGTCGACGTCAGACTCCATGTCAACGTCTATAGACGCGAAACTGGCACTGGGCTTGTCTCGTGTTTGTATAGTCGCAGCGTCCTTTTGGAGGGAAGAATCATTTTGTTCCCTGCGACCGGACAATAATTGAATAAGGTTTTGAAGTTCTACGCTGTGCAAACCACAGTCAAATTCAAAGTTGTTTGCTGCACTGGAAAGAATACGTGACAACTTTCGCATATTTACTTTAGTCAACGCCGAAATCGGTATATTAAACTTAGTTCCCGTGGCTTCTGTTAGCACAACAAGCGGTGTGCCGATTGCGAGTCTCGCAGCATGCCCAAAACTTTACTTACACGACTCGCTCCATGCTCGCAGGCAGCTGACGCCAACGGGACGTCCCAACTGTGGATGCAAAAGCTAGCCTCACAAACGAGCTAACCGTGACTGAAACTTTCTCGGTGTCTACTGTCGCTCCAAGCGTTTATCATTGTCACGCAGATACACAGCCACAGAAGGTGCGATCAACGAACTTTCGCACTACGCCCCCCCGACCCATCTGACCAACTTCAGCGCGGCTGTCGAAAAACAAACAAAAACTATTTTCTTTCCTTCATTGTTAGCAGCCGATTCTGAAGCGCTAAGAATTGCGCGCTTGATGTGGCGGGCTCGCGTAGGCCCTGCGGGCAACCATGTGTGCGCGATATCACGGGCGGCGTTTGAGTGAATGAGCACGTGAATCCGTGAGCGGAGTTGGTAAGCAAGTTCGTTGAAAAATATGGCTGCAGTGCTTACATTAAACCCCAAGGCTGAGGTTGCCCGCCATGCCCAGGCTCTCGCGGTCAACATCAACGCTGCAAAGGGTCTGCAAAACGTTCTTCGTACGAATTTGGGCCCCACTGGCACGATGAAAATGTGAGTAGGCATTGTGCCGTTCTAGGCCTAAGCATAGTCTGAACATTTTAATTTCGTGTACTGGCCTGCTTTGGCCAGAATATTTCTAGAATTCCGTGGCTGTCATTTGAATTACGGTCCACCAAGTAGCTCCAAATAGGATTCATTGTATGTTTGGGTTTGCTGTGGAAGTGGTCGAGCATGTTTTGGTCAGGTGGTCCGGCGAGGCACAAAATGCCGGCTTGCGATGAGGCAAGTCTAGAAAGTTCGCGAAAGCCGTTGTATCTTAACGAATATGTTTACAGTCAGTTAGGTTGCGGTCTCTAGCCAAAAGAGAATGATTTTGGCTCATCAGTGTTTGAACGAACTACTTCTGTTCAATATCCACTAGTGACGGCCCATTGATTCCTTATATGGACAAGTTAAGTGGTGTGCTGCAGTGATGACAGAACACCGCGACATATTCGAGAAGCAGTGGATTGCGTTCCCTTGTGCTGTTTTTATTCTTTTTCTATGTACGGAAAGTGTTTATATTGCATATGCACGGCGATTACGTGGTGGCCTAACCCGAACAAAGCGTGCAGCGTAAACGCAGTGAAGTGTACTTTTCTATGAGGTGCATTTATTCGATCAGAAACAGAAAGGTCTAATTCGAAACAAACAAGAAGAAATGATGAGAATACAAGTGAAGCTTTGTGTTTTACAAAGTATTGATGTGTCGGAGACACAGGTTTCACGTCGAGTGTATGTTACCTTTCCGCATTAAACGAAGAAAGTTTTGATGAAATAGACTCTTTGTTAAAAAAAAAAAAAACAACTGATTTTTCCGGTCGTCTATATATCGTTGGCGTGCTACTCTGAAGGGTACTGAAAGGTTTCAATAGAGGGAGAAGAAAAATATGAAAAGAAAAAAAGAGTATAAGGCAGTGTGTATTAACCTATCAGGGTCGTGTTAAGCTTGGCAGCACCCGCAGTCTTTTGCGTGTCGTTTCAAGACGTGAAGAGCATAGAATCGAACGAGTATGGGTCCTGGTCACAGCAATTGTATTTTTATTTGATGGAGGGGAAATTTTAAAAGCCCGTGTAATATATGGTGTCAATGCGAGTTAACACCAGATGCTCGAGATTTCCTGAGCCCAGTGTTCAGTGTTCCCATAACTGTGGATCTGTCATTTAAAAAAGAAAACTCTGGATATTATGCTGCTAAGTAATAAATATAAAGAGAAACTTCAGCTTTACCATACTTATCGTGACTGCCACATTTTTTGTCTACTATTCAAAAGGTTTGGTTTGTGCCACATTTTAAAAACGTGTGTTGCTTGCTGGAAGCACACATGTCGATGAACCAAGCATGATTTGGTTTAACCTTATGTTCCCGAGTGATATGCATGACAGGTGTAGTAATGTTGTATCTTGATTCAAAATCACTGCGTCAAAGTGAACGTTCTTGGACTATAGACCTTTTCAAAAATGTTTCCCAGGGCGCCGCCATAGTCCTCTTTAAGCTGCGCAAATTGGCGTGATCACTGAAGAATGCACTGACAAGGCTGCGCCCTTGGCCTTTGTACTCCTGCGCGCAGCCCATCATGGCGGTGTTTTTTTCCTCCAGTGAAAAGGTGTATAGTCGGTTACAACTTTAGAAGTCAGCGGTATTTCCTTCTCAAAGGTGGATGCACACAAGCTAGCACCAATGCATGCACTATAGAGTGACGTCATGGGCTAGACGACTGTTGACCCCCGCCTGCAGAGAACGTTGCTGACAGCAAGTGCGGGACAATTACAGCGAAAGCTGTTATGAGATCACACTTGGGTCACGTGCAGTTGTCCGCCGCCGTTGTCCGTAACCACATCGCGTGAAATTAGAAGGAAAAAAAACCTAGCACCGAAGACGCAGTGGGGCTCGAAATCGAGGTCTGCTTGCTGGGTGCCAGCCCAGTATTCTACCACTGAGCTACGCTGGTGCTTTTGACTTGTTGGCAAACTTGCCTTGGGCAGGCATGATGTCGGGAAAGCAATTGCGTAATATGACTTGTAAAGCGTTTTAAAACAGCGAAAGAACAAACAGTCGTCGCACAATGCGAATAGCGTAATGAGTGGACCGTCCAATGCTCCAACCCATTACAAAAGCTTCTTCTTGTTCCTATATTAACTGTGGTGTGTACCCACTTCAGCCATTATTCCTCATTGGCGTCAGCCACTGCATGAACAATTGGCATGAAATTCCTTGCAAATGTTTAGCGAATACCACGCTTCTCAGTAGGGCGACGAAAAATAGCATAGTAAATGCTGGCCTACTACCCAAAAGTTTATTATTAATGCCCTAGTGGGTATCAAGCAAGTGTGTTTGCAGTAGTTACTCAATGAGTGGTTTGAAAAGGCTCCGAAAGGTTGCTCTTCTAGCTTTCGCTCTTACTGTACTGTGCCTTCCACGCAGGCCTGGGGTTTTTTGTCACTGAGGTGATTGGCTGCCACGCTTAGGTCGTCTGGGCGGGGCCTCCCCCGACTTCTTAAGTTGTATCTGACTAAAGCTTCTGTAGCAGTGCCTGCTTAGTATGAGATGAGTATTATCTTCAGGGAAGCTGCATTCATGGTGGTTTTTAAAACCACTGTGCATTATGTTAACACTGAGACTGAACTGCATTTCACCAACAAAAGCATAGTTTTCAGCATACAGCAAAATGTATGAGGTGTACTCCAAGAATGTTTGCTAGGCTACTCCGATGAGATTGATTGCTCAGCAGCCTTGCCTAGAAACTGCCCTCGCTATGTCATAATGCTTCGTGTAGCATATCTATTTGTTGAATAATAAAGTATGTTTATCTAGAGAACAGCGAAAGCCACAATAATCATTCATGTTGAAACATGGCTATTCACGAAAAGGGTTAGCCGTATTTAGCACCGAGTGTCCATGTATTGGTGGTGACAGAATGTTAATGTTTATAAAAAAAAAGCTGGAGAGCAAGTTCTCGAATCATAGCACTATCAACCAAATTTTCGCTTATTGCTAATTACAAGTTTTTGCCATTTATAATCCAGAGGACAGTATATAAACACAGCTGTTGCTGTTTGAGAGCCTGTATGGTGAACTCAACCGGGCCTGTTTTAGTTTACAAATGTATGTTAGAGCTGTGTTACTAAATCCCGTCACTTTATGCTTTTGTTTTTTCCAGGCTTGTATCGGGAGCCGGCGATATAAAGATAACAAAGGATGGCAATGTTTTGCTGCATGAAATGGTAAGATCCGGTATAGACGTGTTTATGCATCGGGGATTAAGTTGTGTGATGACGCAGGCATATTTCCAGTGGGCAAGACCTTAAGGTTATAAACATGGGCAGGCATGACACGATTGAAGACCAGAGTGATATGATTGGGAAACTTGCAGGTGTTACAAAGGCTTCAGATCATGCCAGGATTAAGTTGAACATAGGACAGTAAATTAGGCATTACCTGTATGGATTCCTTAGTGGTGTAGTGGAGTATTCTGATGATAATAGCACTGACTGTTTTATTTTTATGATTATTAACAGAGCGAGTGCACTATTTTAGTTCCATCTTTTTCATCAATGTATATCGCCAATGCAAATCTCATCATGTTAATTTGGGCTCTGCTAGAATTAAAGTAATTCTTTACAGGTGGTGGAATGTCTGGGTAACAGTCCCAGTACCTTCGGTGATTGGATTGAAATGAACCATGCATTAGTGTTATTATTATTATTATTCATAATTTGCACATGGTTGTTACAAGGTCAGTTGTGTATTCCTTTGAAAGTCTTTGACAATGCCTGAAGTCGTCACTTTTTTTCTATAAGGGCGTGGCACCACATCGGGCTAGACTGATAATATATAGCTATGAGGGCTGCTAGACTTGTCTGTAAGCACTGTTGTATGTTTTGGTGTGAAGCAGTCAAGCTAAATATGCACATGATCATACTTTCAGCAAATTCAACTGCCCACTGCGAACCTTATCGCCAGGGCTTCAACAGCGCAGAATGACATCACCGGTGACGGAACAACGTCAACTGTTCTTATCATTGGAGAACTTCTCAAACAGGCAGACATCTACGTTTCTGAGGTTTGTAGCTTTTAATATTGCACGACCATAGAGATGTTTGAGGCAAACCCTACTGTGCGCTACTTATTGCAGTGCGCCCTTGCACCTTAGTACTCTCATCAAAGTTTTGGTTTTAGTGATCCTCACAGTGATTGTGATCTGCTGTTGTGAAGAAAGCATAGAGGTTGTTCACTACAGTGACTTAGAATGCGTGAACATGACGGTGAATCACTACAGTGCTTTGTCTGTTTTCTGCACTATCGACAGCGAAATTGTTGCATGAATTGTGACAGTACCAAATGCAAACATGGTGCCATGCTGGCAGGTCTCACACACCTGTAGCAAAATGAAAGTGCCTCGGGCATCTCAATGCACTTTCGTAATGTTAAGGATTTTTTAAAATGAAATATTGATTGAGCCAATGTTTTTGTTAATGACGCAACGGCTTTGATGCTGTATGTCCTGGCTTCGACACCTGCAGAGTCCTCGATTTTGATATATGTTCTGAGTTTCTAAAATTTAATTTTTGTTGGTTTACTTTTTTTTTGTTAGGAATAGCTGCCACTGGGGGCCGACAAGTCTCACAGGCTCTTTTCCAATGCTATTCTTTGATGCCAAACCTTCTAATGATTATTGGGCATTACAAAGAGCTAATCTGCACCCTCCCAGGGCCTGCACCCGCGCATTCTGGCAGATGGCTTTGAGAAGGCACTGACCAAGTCATTGGAGGTGCTGGAGTCCCTCAAGCTCACCCCAGGCGACATGAACCGGGAAATGCTGGTCAGGGTGGCCCACACAGCACTCGCGACAAAAGTGAGCCCCGAGCTGGCCCAGCACCTAACGGAGGTGTGCGTGGACGCCGTGCTGGCGATACAGCGGCCCGGAGAGGACCTGAACCTGCATATGGTAGAGATTATGGAGATGCAGCACAAGACGGACATGGACACCCAGCTGGTGCGTGGACTCGTGCTGGACCACGGGGCAAGACACCCGGATATGAAGAAGCTCGTACGGAACGCCTTTGTGCTGGCCTGCAATGTGTCTCTGGAGTATGAGAAGACGTACGTGTGACCCATCTTCGATTTATTTTGGTGACACGTGATCCATCATTTTATTTGCTTTTTTGTCCTGATCTGTGTATTCATCATTACAAGAGAGTTCGCACTCGAGGCAGACACTTTGAGAAGAACGTAATAAAAGAGTGCCTGTGTTTTGTCATTTGCTGTTCTCCGTCCTGAGTGCTGCGTACTCTTTAGTAATGATGAGTCCATATATCAACTATCCCGTTTTTTTTGCTTTATTTGCATAACCTCCCCCCAGGAGAGAGTTGAGTGTCAGCAGATCTGTGTCCTGAAACTGTGTGTACGTATGTAAGGTTCACGGTTTCATTTCATCGGCTCTACTTTGACTGTGTCACTGTTGCCTCCATTAGCTTCTCACAGCAGTAGGTCACAATAAGAGATGGCGAACGTAAGCAAATATAAATTATTCTGTATGGGGGATGTTACTGTTTCCATACATATAGGGTTTCCTTATGTATAGTTGATTTTAGATCTTTATGTTGACTGGCTTGAAGGATTGTTTTATGGTGGTGTTCGATTGCATACCATGTTTTTTTGGAGATGTAACTAACTTAGTTACACACTAATGACACCCTCAAAAGAAAGAAACAGGACATCTACTCTTACAATCTGTGGGAATAGTAACCTCTGTGCGTGTACACAGAACTTAATGCTTTTTTTGTCTAGTTATTGTGTGTTGCCAACACTCGGTGAAGATAATCTTCAGCTTCTGCTGTGCTGTAATGGGTGGAGCTAATTGTTAGCTGTGTTCATTTTGCTAATGATGTCATATTACTCATTAAATACTATCACATTGCAAACTCCATCATAGAGACGTAGAGATGAAAATAATCAACTAGGAAAAAAGCAGGAGCATAGGCAGTACTTATTTTCAAGTGAGGGGGGGGGGGGGGCACCTTTAGAGTGGGAGAGCCAGACAGGCAAATATGGTCATGTGCTATTTTGTGCTCTATATGCCATGCCACCCCCTGGTTACGCCACTAGAAAGAAGGAAGCTTCAGTGCACAGTGATGGTGATATGGAAAAACTAATACCCCTGTCACACGGGCACTTAAATGTCTATTAAGTAAGCGGTCTTTTTCCGAAAAGGAGTTCCTGACTGCAGACACACGGCACAGAACGAACTCCATTTCAGAAGTGGTCTTTTTCGTAAGCGGAGTTCGTCGATCTCTATTACGGCTCTGAATGAGTAGCCTCGAAACCAGTGGGTGCCAGCAATTTTCGAGTGGTGGGAAAAAAAGAGCGAACGCTTATTTTTCTGTCACCAAAACTCTTTGTAAAAACAAATTTTATATCCTGCAGAAGGTGTAATGAACTCTTTTAATGGTTATTTCCTTTTCTACTCTCGTAAGCAGCTACAACGCGTCGGCAATATCACGTGGTGACGCTTGGTCTCGCGCCGTGCCATTTTGCACAAGCGAGGAAAGCGTGGCAGTCGTGTGTTTGCCCGTCATTCATGTGGTCCGAGTCCGAGCGTCTATGGCCACCTCGGCAGATCAAGCAGCCGGCGCCCCACGGAAAAGGCAGCGTCTGCAATGGTCGAAAGCAGACACGTTATCCTCTCCTTGGCGGCTTTTGCAGCGTCTGCCTCGCTTTCCAGAGCGAGAAGGCAGGCCGTGAGGCTTGCGATCCTTGCTTTTTCTCCCGTACGGTCACCCATAACGTGTCGAGAGCAGTCAAGAGCAGCGAAAAACAAATACGGTAAATAAAAGCCCAGTGGTGCCAGACGGACTTGTGCACTTCGCTAGTTATGGGAATGCTTCCTTAACTAGTGCAACAAACTTTCACATTGGTGTTTCTTCATCTCTTATTCTTAAATTTACTTGAAGAAACGAGCAGTGCAACAAATCTTTAATTTGTACATCGTGATACATCGTTTAATTTTCATTGCTTCTCTTTTAACTGCTAGCGCCACGCTTTCGCTAGCGTCTTCGAACGAAAACACTAAAAAGGAGATCGTTGCTGCCGTGTGTCTGCGCCGCAAACACCTCTTTGTTAAATGTCTTTCAACTTCGTAAAAGACCGCTTATTTAAAGGGTTTTTTGTGCGCCCGTGTGACACAGGTATAAGGTATACAGCAGGACTTTAGGTGGCAGACAGCTTTTAGCTACTTTTTTACGACTACTTGGCATGGGTAGTTATGAAGGAACTAAAAAAAATTGCATCTATACTTTACTGTCACTAGCATTGAATTATTAACAATTTATTTATTAGTACCTCAAATGCTCCATGAAAGGTGGTAATACGGGAGAGGCGGGCATACTTGTCCTTGATAGTTTCAATTGATGCCTTGAAAGATGTATGGCTGGAGTGGTGCACCACGTCAGCAGGAAGACTATTCCAGTTTTTTGCAGTTTCAACGAAGAACGATTCCTTGTGAACGGTAGTGCGGATTGCGGGCAGATAAATTGCTTTTGGTTTGCTGTGACGGGGGTGAAGAACAATGCAAGGGTTTGATATCAGCCTGATGACGTAGAAGGTGGCAGAACTTGTGAAAACGACATAATCTTGCAGTTTTCCGGCACTGCTCAAAGGCGTGAAGACACTGTTTACGGCTGCAAATGGGTATAAAGTTTTAGATTATTTTCGTTCGAAGCAACCTGTGCTTCGGAGAGGCATGATTTTCGTGGTTAGCAAGGTCGTGGGGGAAAAAAAGCATTGGCAACACTTGATTGAAATCATGTTTTAAGAGGGTGTAGAGTTTGTGTTCATGTACGTTGCGATGCTTCAAAATTGTCCAGAATAATCAGAGTGAATTAAATCAAGCAAGATGTTAACAAAATGAGAAATAAAATTGGCCCCGTATCTGCATGTAATCTGCAAATGTTGTCAAAAGACTATAGTCCTGAGTATGGAGAGTGAACAAAACATTTATTTAATATTCTGCGCAAGAAAATCGGTGAATGGTATTCCGGAGGCGCTGCCTTAGAGTGCCTCGAGCATGCAGCGGAGGCTAACGAGCGCATTGAGGCACGTTAGCCACGAGCGTCATCTGGCAGTTATTTCCGAAAACAAAGGAAGGCCTGCATGCCTGCGGAAAAAGATGCGTGCATTCTCGGAGGCGATAAGGTGTAGAACGCAAGCGACGGGCAGGTGCCACCACCGTGTCGTTTTAGCAAAGCGTTGGTAAAACTTGCCTTTTTGAGGCTAGTGTCGCACTGTCAGCGCAGCGTGTTTAACGCTACGGTCCTTAGAATTACTTGTGTGGGCGTTCTCTAGTATAAGGCACACATACAAAACATCGATGTGTTTTTATGGTACCTCAGATATGCGCAATGATTGCTTTTTAATTGACAATCGCACACGTAAGAACGCTGATCCTTGAGCAGCATCGATAGGCGCTGCAGATGGGGTCGGCCGTTCGGGGTATCGGTTGGTGCTGTTTAGAGTAACCGGTTTGTGGTAACGGTGGACAAACAGACAAATGTACAGACAGACCAAAGTTTCTGCGTCAAAGGTCCCCAAGAAAGACTATCGTTTTTAAAACTTGGGAGACTAGTAATGTAGATGCAACCGTTCAGCTCCTGTTAGTTACACTGCCACGTTCTGTCTGCAGGGAAGTGAACGCAGGCTTTTTTTACAAGTCTGCCGAAGAGCGTGAGAAGCTGGCCCATGCAGAGCGGCAGTTCATCGAGAAGAGAGTGCATAAGATTATCGAGCTCAAGCGTAAGGTCTGTGACACCCCGGAAAAAAACTTTGTTGTCATCAATCAGCAGGTGAGGAGCTTTTTTGTCTGCTCTTGTTTTAGAAAGCTTTCTTGCTTCATTTTGCTTGTCTTGTCTCTTGGTGTGACTGGACGCATGACGAATTGCATTATTTTGTGGCCAAAATTTTGTCCCTGGATGCCGGTATTGCTGTGTGAAATTAACTTTTTTCTTTAGTGCGAACTTATTGGCTGGGTGGCGTGTGTATTGACTTGTGCCAGTTAGACCACAGCTATCGTGAACTTAATACTTTACTATTGACAGCATACTCTGTTGACAGATTTATGTTTGTTGGAAGTCGCTCGTTAATTTGAGATTGTCATCACGGTGTGAGTTTTGCTTTAGCCTAACTTTGCTGTGAAATTTGGCCTTTTTGATTGTCAAACATTTTAAGCTGTTCCTTTATGACCAATTTTTAAATTCTTTTTTCAGGGTATCGACCCCATGTCTTTGGACCTTTTGGCTAAGGAAGGCATTGTGGCCCTTAGGCGTGCCAAGCGAAGGAACATGGAGCGGTGTGTTTTTTATAAGTTTTTACATTTAAGTATGGCACGTCACTTTTCTGTTCATCTGTTAATAAGGGATCTTTCCATTTCAAAAGGTTTAATGGACTTTTACATGTTGGATTTTGCCCAAGTTAGTTTCAGCGAACAGAGTCGGCGCTCCGCCGACTTTCCGGGAAACCACTTTCGACCACGGCCCATATATTGTTATTGTTAAACGCCGACCCTGCCTTCGCGCTCCTCCAGTTGCTGCTCTCCCCAACGGCTCTTTGTTACACACCTTTCCGTCCTTTGTCCCCCCGCTACTTGGAGCACCCCGCATCACCAGAGCGGCCCGTGTTTTCACACTGCCGTCCATCTTTCGAAGACTGGTCGGCCATCTCACCTGTTTTCAATTGCTGGTACTGTAGTTGACATCGCCGGCCTTGAGTGACCAGACCATTTGCCAACATCGTCTGGTCGTATCGTTCTAGTGCATGCGCGTTCGCTACCCCACCCACTTAAATAATTTGGGATTTTTTTCATGTTTAGGACCTGTTCTCGCTCACTTCGCACTCGGCTCAGCATGCCCTCCGCACGCGTGCGGAAGCGTAAAAACAGCATTCAACTTGCGCGGAGCAAATCGCAGAATATCGAAGTCGGTGAGGCCACGCAAACCTGTCCGGCGCAACAAAACGATTTTTTGACCACGGCTGCCGATTCTTTGAACACCGCCGTGCGTGCCGATCCAGGCGGCCGTGCTTAGACCTCTGTGCGCGCATTCTACGCACGAGTTGTGCATTTCGCGGACCTTTTGAGCAGGCTGCTTGACCTGCCTCCTTCCCACATGTCGTCTTCTCGCCATATGCTCCTCTCTTTTCACTCTATCGCAACTCCTTGCCCTTCTCTCACAAATTGGCTCTCCTCTCTTGACACAACTCCTTCGCCTGTCTCTACTGCTCTGTGACACCAGCCACGCTGACTCGAATTCACAAGTTTTGTTTTCGGACTAGGAACAGGCCCAGAGCTCTACCACGTGTTCTAGCATGTGTGTTGCGTGTGCGCGTCTTGCTCGCTCTCAATGTGCGTGTGTGGTCAGGATGGCAGAGGGAGGCCCTGCACGCTTTTTGCTGTCGCTCAACGAAACGTCAAAAGTGTGACCGCTTGGCTTGGGCCTGATCCGCACGTTAGGTGCCGCGTCGCGGAGCACTTGCTCATAGCTGTTGACCACCTGGCAGCCAACTTGCTGCTTCGGGTGTTTCAGTGCTTAGCTGTGGAGATGGTGAATATTTCAAGGGCAGCGATGATGGCTACATGCATGCGCGCGAAACTGTTTTCGCGAGGCCATCTTCGTCGACGTCAGGCCCGATGCTGAGCCTGAAGCTTTCGAACAGGACCACTCCGGCGGCGATTTGTGGCAGCGCATCGTCGACTCGGACCTGGTAGAGCGGGTGGGACATCAGTTGCGATAGTTTATTTATGGCCAAGAATGATGCCGACACCGTGGAACTGTGCACGGATTAGGGCATTGTGAATTAAGTACGCCGCGAGAGCGATTTGGAGGAATCGGATTGCGAGAACGACGATACTTTGGAGCCAGTGCCTCATGCAGCTTATACCACAGGCCTCGGCAAAGAGCACGCTGCTGTTAGAAATAAACTCGAGACCGCCCTTATTGCTTCTGCTCTTCGAAACACGTGCAGCGCGGACTTTTTGGGCAATAAATTTTGTGCGTTCACTCGCAACTTTTTTAAAAGCTGTGTTTCATTCAGTACGAACTTTGGGTACAGCAAACGGAAGCCGCGTCAGGCTCAGGTTCGTTAAAAGCGGGCTCGACTACACTCCCATTGCCACGTTCCCCTTAAATGTGTACACAGTAAACACAATTGGAAAAATTTTAGCGTGTAGGGATGAATGGCTGAAGTTCCATCGCATTACTGAAACAGTCCTAATCGAGTTTTGGTTGTTTTTCTGCGATTGTACTGTAATAAGGCTTTTTGCACTCAGTGGAAGTCAGAGAAACAATTTGAGAAAGTTTGTTCAGAAAAGCTTCTGGAAAAGCAGTACAACAACATCAGCAGTGTCATTCGAAGTGCCGCTGGGATCGGAAAATGTCCTTTCGTACTGACCCCAAAGCAATGCTCTGCTGTTGGAAAAAAAAAAAAACTATTTTATAAAGCAAACAATGTGGTGTGTCACCTGGGGTTTCAAGTCTGATTCTGCTTTTTTAAAACATTTTAAACAATGAAGGCACTGTTCTTTCTTTGTAATCTGACTCTCCAGGTTCTACCGTGCACATGAATTATTTAACAGAACCAGACTCATTCAGATGGATGTATCTGGCCATGCTGCGTGAATTCAATCTACCCGAAAAATGTGCTGAGCAATGAATGTCTGGCTCATGACACTGTGTATGACTATGTTGACTGCATGCCTTTGATACTGCCGTGGCCGACATCCATGATTGCGTCGATAGTGATTGCTGTTTTGTTTTGACTCTGTTGCAGGCTGGCGCTGGCGTGCGGCTGCAAGGCCATGAACTCCTTTGAAGAGCTGACCCCCGATGTGCTTGGCCACGCGGGACTCGTGTACGAGCACGTGTTGGGTGAGAACAGGTTCACCTTTGTGGAGGAACTCAAGGACCCACGCTCTGTGACGGTACTCATCAAGGGACCCAACAAGCACACAATCACCCAGATCAAGGACGCGGTGTACGATGGACTGCGTGCCGTCAAGAATGCAATCGAGGACTGGTAAGCTGGAGGAACCACTGCGGCGGAGGTTTCCTAGCTTGTGATTGTGGTTCAGTGGAGTCCAAAGCTTTTTTGCAGTCTATGGGAGAGGAATCACTGCGGCGGAGGTTCCCTTTGTAAAAAGCTTGTGATTGTGGTTCAGTGGAGTCTCAAACCCTTTTTTTTTCAATTGATTTGAGGTTTTAAGGGACACAAAAAGAACCAATGACTTGGTTTAGATTGACAACCTGCAGTCTGAGAACTCTAATGTCATAAGTTTCACTATCATAAGTTCATTATTAGTGGAAAAAATCAGGGTTGAAGTATAGTTTTAAAATTTTGTGCCAAAATCTTTGCATGCGACATCAGAAATTTCCATATGTATATTTCGTGTTTTTGCGACATTGGCTTGATGAAATTTTCTGAAATTTTGTACGTGAAGTTTATGGCCCCAAAGATGACAGTGTACTTCATTTTTATACTAGAAGTTACGTAGCACCCAGTAGACTCCTTCAAAATCTGACGTGACAATGTTGGGTGTGTGAATCTCCTGCACCCGTATTTTTGCTTTCGTGCGTTTTCTCATTTACCAAGCGTCATGTCTTGTTAAAGAGTGGTGTTCTTGGGATTTTGAAATTGTACTTTTCATATGTGAAAAATAGTTTTGCTCTTTAGTGTTAATTTAAAGGGGGACGTGGCAATGAAAATTATCTTTGTTAATTATGAAACTAAAGGGACGAAATTTGGCAAGCAGATGTAATTTGTTGTGTTGATATCATAACTGAAATCGGTTTTGAGTTATTTAATATAACTTTTGAGTTACAACACATGGCAGACTCTCATTGTCATCCCAAAATAATTAGCTAATGAGATACAAGTTCGTCAAAATGTTAGCATAAAGATATTTATGAGGGAATATTTTGTGCCGTGATGCTATTGCTTTATTTTTAATATTCAACTAAGCACACAAAATTTTGTTCTGAAATATCTTGTACATATTGTCTTACCAACAACTTTTACAAAAAGCCAAGTACAAAAGTCTGTATAATGTGCACACAAATATGGACAGCTTTATGGAACTCACCAATGTCTCAGAATCCAAGTGCAGGAAACAAAGTTGTGAAATGGTACAAAGATGACTGATAGCAACTGCTCAAAAAAAAAAAAAAAAAAAAAAAGAAGAAGAAACCTGAGAAAATGGAACTCGGAAAAATTGGAGCTAGAAGCTGATGAAACGCAGCTCTGAAGGAAGCCAGGTTTATTTTTTATTGGAGAAATGCATCTTTGTGGCTAAGTTGAGCTCCAATATGTCCTCTTTATGATGATGCCAGTATGGTGGCCCTGTGTCAAGGGAAAGCTGTAAATTTGCATTTTGCTATGCCCAATTTTCACATACCGTATTTACTCGATTCTACCGCGCCCTCGATTGTAACGCGCACCCGATTTCCACCGCGAAAAAAAACAAAAAAAAACGTAAGACATCGACTGCAACGCGCACCCATTTTTTTTCGCTGGCCCGCACGATCACACCACTCGAAAAAACGATTCCTTTCGGGATTGTCTTCCATTTAAATATGAGGTACGGGCGAAGCTTGTGCCCATCTGACGTGTAACAGAGCATTGCCGTCACTGTAGTTTTACCGTGGATCGATGTCAGCACGCGAACTTGCTTCGCCTCCTTCTTCTCGACAGTTGTGGTGCCAGGCATGTCGAAGTAAAGAGGCGTCTGATTGGCATTCCAGATTTGCCCAAGCAGGTAGCCGTTGTTGCGCCGCAAGTTTAGGACGAACCTCTGAAAACTGTAAAGCTTTTCATCGTACTTCTCCGCAAAAGTTTTCGCATATGCATGTTCCCCTTCGGAGGGAAGAGCCTTTCCTCTTCATATAGTTAATTAGCCAGCACCTGCTCGCTTTAAACTGGCTCCGCATTAGACTTTTTTTTTCTAAGACTAATTGCATAGCCCGCACTTGGAGCAGTTCTGTCGTCACGGGCCGCTGTGCCACTCGCTCCTCAAGCACATACTCGCGGAGCAGCTCTTTAGTTTGCGGAAACCGACCCTGCTGTGGTTCACTGAAGCCTTTGCGTGAAGCTTTGCTGTCTGCAATCTTCTGCTTTTGTTTCCGCCGGTCCCGCACGCACGTTTCGGGAACGACCGTGATGCGGCCCGATTTCCGTCTGTTTCTGCACACGCGATGACTTTTCTTTTAAAAGCGGCATCGTGGTGCACTCGAGTTTTTGGAGTCGGCCCTTTCACGTCGTCGATGCTAATGCACTACTAGATGACGAACTCCTCATCACACGTACGAAGTGCCGCACATGGTAAACACATAGGCAGAAATAGCTGACGCACCATGCTGACGCACGTAGGGGGCGGCCATTTTGGATTTGCGATGGCAATAGATTGACCGTAATTTTTTTTTGTTCGTACTCGATTCTAACGCGCATGCGATTTATGAACTCGCTTAACCGGAAAAAAGGTGCGCGTTAGATTCGAGTAATTACGGTAACCTTTGACGACAGTCCACCAGTAAAATGCTTGTTTCTCAACTTCTACTACTTATCTTGGTCTAAAATCACACTATGATGTAAAACAGGGTCTCAGGATTACAGAAAAAAAAAATCAATTGAGAAACTGAACATTTTCACCAAATTTGCAATTCCTGTTGCCACGTCCCCCCTTAAGCCTCAAGGAGGGATACAGGTCTTAAGGGGGGACGTGGCAAGTAAAACTAATTTTTTTATTAATGTACTGTTTGTGATGAAATTTGGTGTGTGTATGTGGATGATTGTGAGGATTCCAAATATGAAAACCGTTTTCAAATACCTCTTGTACTTTTTGAGTTACAAGCATAATTATACTAATTAATGCTCTTCACACTTAAAGAGATAATTATTGCTAAATGAAATTATTTTTTCATATTATCATGTTCCCAAAGCATCAACTTGTGCAAAGAAGCTATTAGTTGATTTTTCTAGTTCTTGTAACCATAAATAAAATTTCCAAAACATGGATGTTGTTTTGCACACACATCACAGTAATTATAAAATGTGTTCTAAGAATTTTAAATGATGAGTAAGAAGAGAGATAAAGCTTTATTGCACTGCTAAAAGCCTCCTGAGCCTAGTGCAAAAAACGGAACGACTCTATCAGTCTTTGTTAAAAAATGACAGATGTTCTAGCGAAGGCACATAGGCGAAAATCAAGAGTTGAGAAAACTGACTTTGAAAGTTCACTCTTGTTTGGAAGTTCACAATATGCCTAAAACACTCAGAATCCTCCTGGGCAGTAATCCTGAGATGCTGTGGCCTTGGCCTCTGTAGAGCGCAACCCAGTTTTGCACTTCTTTGTCGTGGAACAATGCACCTTTTGAGCCCTCTTCACCCTTTTGGCATCCTTTTCGGCTGCTCGCCGCAAAGAGCAGTCTCCTGGATTGAAGCCCAGTTGAGCGGTGATCTCTTGCAGCGCACTCTTGCAGCCACCATTGAAACGGCAGACTGCATCTGCAACTGCACTTTCCACACTTCGAAGGGAGGCGAACTGGCTCTTGGACTGGAGTGACCAAATGAGGCTGTTCATACTCTCCACAGCATTCTGGGTTTTTCCCTGCGCACACCTTTCAAGGAGCTCTTTGTTCGAGAGGCGCTTGTAGATTGGCAGCAGTGCCACTCGCACGTGAGGGGGCAGTTTATGTTTGTGAGGCGGCAGCGGCTCTCCCTTGGCCAATGCCTGATTGTGCGGGCACCAGGAGTCAGTCCCACTTGGGCACAGGTTGTGGTGTGGATCCTGGTCTGTGGATGTTACATGGTAATAAGTGGCCATGATGGCCCTCTCCATGCCAGGAACATCGTTGGGGTGACTCTTAATGGCCCAACCATAATAATTCGTTAACTTCTTTATCAGGCCCTGCGTCAGCCGGCCTTTGCCACCCATGCTCAGTCCTCGGCCTTTGGATTTGTGCTCATCAAGAAGGTTGCGCAAGGAAGTGCCCATTCTTTTTTTCACATGGTTCACACACTCCTGTTTCTTAATCACCATGTAGCCATACACCTTGTCTTGCGTGAGGGCAAGGTACGTACGGCTGTCACCGTCGCAGAGCACATTGATGTATCGAAGCTTGTACTTGGTAAACGATCTTTCAAACATGATCTTAGCTGCTTCTACTTCCATTTGGCCTGCATTAGCATCAGTGTTCTTTTGGCACTGTGGCTTGTGTTTCTCAAGCCACTCCTCATAGTTGTCGTCACCAGGCTTGGTGCCAACAGCACAGCCTTGGCAGTAGTTGGACAGGACACAGTGGTCCAAGACCAAGCCTGTGTACAGCTCGATTACACAGCCCACGCCAATATGACTTCTGTGCCCCCTCGTCATCCACGTGCCGTCGTAAATGACGTCAATGTTGCCTGGCACTCCTCCTAGGTCCTTGTATATGTCATGCACCTTCTGTGCACTTTCTGCTTCAATGCGGGTGGCAGCTGATGTGGTGGCAGGGTGGCTGTACTTCCTTTGCAGTCTCTGGTAGGACTTGTGGTGCAGTGCTCGATGCGAAATGTCCATCGCAGAAAAAATGTCATTTATGGCAGATTGTTTTCTGCCAACTGACTGCACAGCCCTCAAAGCACGCACGTTTACCTCAAAGGGGTTCGTTTTTTGTTGCCCGGAGCACCTCGGGGACGACCACGCACTGTTCACTATGCCACAATTGTCACAAAAAAGTTCCATCCTCGCCGCGAGTCCAAGGCAGTGCGTAGTCTCGAGGCATATCGACCCTTCGTCGCACTTGTTGCACTTTACTGACGAAAGCAGACCGTTCAGCATCTTCTTATTTACAATGAAGAATGTGGAGTCCTTACCGCCGTCATTTTCGTCGCAGCCTTCGCTCAGAAGCTCGAGCTTCCGCTTTGAAGCGGACTTCGATGCTACGGCATCCAAAACATCCCGCCTTGTCTGCGCCCGCTGCGCGATTTCTTCACTGCTCGGAATCTGGGCCGAAACTCGCGATAGAATGTTCGACGCGCGCA